TGATCACGTGGAAATATATAGCAGCAGCCAAATACTCTAAATGCACGTTGATTCTAAATGTGGAGGGAAATACCGGAGGGCCCGGAGAAAAATCCATGCGACCACAGGAAGAGAGACATGCAAACATCAGAGGCGGTATCGACCCACGACCTCCTGTATACCAGGCCAGGTAGTTAACATCTCGCCACCGTGGAGCCCACCACTCTGTGCCACGTGACCGTGCTGTGTGCTGTAATTGCACATGCAGCAGTAGTCGTGGGTGAGATCGGAGTGGGTGAGATCTGAGTGGGTGAGATGGGAGTGGGTGAGATCAGGCCAGGGGGGAAGCTGTGACTCGACAAGGGCGGAGGGGGCGGTGGTGGGAACATTTTTATTGAAAAGGAGGTCATGGGAGGTGGTGGTGGGTGGATGCAGCCAACCCAGGAGTGAGGAAAAAAAGAGCCCACACCGTGTGTAGCGGTGCGGAGCAGACTTCTTCATGGGTCTGTGGTTCCACAGCCAAAGGCCTGCCACCACCGCTATGGAGAGGCCAAGTGCGTGTGGGAGATGATAGTTGTGAGGTGATAGTATAAGAGTGATGTTCACTCTGACATTTTTTTGTAAATGTGTTACTGGAAATACAGAGTTCATCGAAGAGATTTCCATTAATAGCGATTTTACACAAAGCCACTGCAGTTTTTTAAAGCCCGCGTAAACTTGTAGCAGATTACAATATAGTCAGTTAATAAATTAATGGCAGTTTGCACCATCTGCACTGGGTGATTGGATATGAGATCACACTTTTTTGCTGATTCCTAAAACATTTGGTTATTCGCTGCTCACGACATGGGCTGAAATAGTTAAGCCATATCAAATAATTGTTAAGCCATATAGAAATATTTTTAAGCCATATAGAAAAGATCGTGCTTTCTATTTCCCCGTCTCCACGGTCTCTCGAAAGCAGGCCGAGCTGGCCCATGAAGTGCCCGGTTCTGCCTCAGGCACCACAGGCAGGGAGGGCCCCAGGGTCTGACTCCCAGAGGCAGGGAGGGCCCACAGGGTCTGACTCCCAGAGGCAGGGAGGGCCCACAGGGTCTGACTCCCAGAGGCAGGGAGGGCCCGGGGTCTGATTCTCCGCATTTGGCGAGCCGTGAGGCACTGCTGACGTGATGCCTCCCACTCCTTCCCCTACACCCTCCCCTCTGAAACCTAGACAGGATAAGATCTCGATTTTTTTATATAAAAAAAAAATGTCTGCATGGGTCAGTTGAGGCTAATTTAAGCTAAATTCGTTTTTTGTTTCTTCAACGTTATGCCATGTGTTTAACAGCTGGGAAGTTGAACTTGCGGAGTCCCCGTCACAACGTCTTTATCTCACCCCACATTGACCAGAAGTCATCCCATTTCGTTCTCCGAGGGAAGCCGAGAGGGTTCGATTGTTGGGGTTGGTTGGGCCCAGGCCTGCCATGGAATCATGGCGCCTCGGGTTCGTCCCCGTGAGATGCCCGTCAGCTCTCAGTGCGCATAGAAATGCGGCATGGAGAAGGGCCCCCATCATTTGCTTTGACAGCAACTCCACTGAGTTCCATACAACTCGGTTGTCATGACTTCTAACGTGATATATACAAGAACAAATATAATTTAAAAATAGGCATAATTAACACAGTTCTGTGGTTTTAATTTAGATATAATTCATATGTAATAATATTACACTGTATATGTGAGTATTGCTCCCTCCTAAGACAGTCCTCAATATATTTGTCATTGCTTTGACAGTTAATGTCACTCAAAAGTGACTGACGTGCATGTTAATGTGTGGCCGCCTGCCAAAGGGTACGTGTATATCAAAGTCCAATTAGGCTCGCAGGGAGGAAAAGCTTCCCCCACTCCTGCCGCAACAGAACGACCTTCAAGTCGCACGCACAGCATCGTAACAAGCAGCACCAACAACAAAACAAGCGGATCTCACAAAATGGAGAAATTAAATAATATAATTTGATCCATCATAAAATACATAGAGCTTACAAAACAGGCACAGACTCTAAACGATGTCAATGATCGTGCGTAGCCAGAGGAGAGCACGGTTTATTTTATTTTATACCTACGTGACTTTACCGAAAGAACCAAAGAGTATAGAGAGCACGGTAGGAGATTGATGGCATTGCAAGTGATTGCGGTGGTTCAAGCCGCATCCCAGTTTAAAGGCCCAGCGATATGCGCAGCCCTTCCTACGATGAGCTGTTTGACGCGCCACAACACCCATGCTACGGCTGCTCACCGTGCCCATTGAATCAACCCTTCCACCTTCACGTGTTGGTGGCCAGATCAGGGTTTTAGTTCGTTCTGCTGCTGCGCTGTTCTGGGCAGGACACTGGGACTTGCAATCCGGAGACGATCACCGGCTGGGTCTCCGAGTGCGGCAATGGCATGGCCAAGTCGTTGTGTCTATCCCTCTGCCTCTGTACACCGAGAAATGTAAATTATTTATGTGACATATAGTTACTTATATATATCATATGACACATGAGGTGGAAGAGAGTAGGCTGGAGTACTTTCGAAAGCTAAAATTAGATAATGACAACATACCAATGCACCTAAATAAGAACAAACGCTATTCGCACGTCTCTTTCGTAAATGGGACGTGAAAGGCGAACCCGTGGTGTGATTGTGGCCATGCACGCCACAATATGTGCCACGCGGTGCCGTCGTAAACCACTTGAGTCTGCGCTCTTTTAGTGGAGAAGCAGCAAAACAAGAGACTCTCTCTCCAGAAGCCATCTCGCTGTGCCGAGCAGATCTCGACATTGGCATGGAGCTCCTGAACTTATTGCCATACGCAAGAATAGAATCCTCCATCCATGATGTATGGATCAGTAACAGTCGTTAAGTAAAATTACAAAAAACTTAAAAGTGCGCAAGGAAGCATGGAGATAAATGCGCGCTTAAACCTACATGGGTCGGGTAACGTATAGCATGTAGGTAAATTGTAGCATCCAAACTATGAAGAAAAGTGCACTTGGGTAGGACACGTGGCTAGAAGGGATGTCGATGTTTAAGATAAGTCGATGTTCAAGATAAGTCGATGCTCAAGAACGATAACGGAGTGGCAGCCAGGAAACAGTGCCCATCCTCGAGGATGTGCCGAAGGAGTTGTGCGTGCTTGCCGTGCCGAGTGGTGGCATTTAAAAATCGCGAGGTGATGACGGTGGTAGCTTTGCGAGCCCTTCATCCAGCAGTGGATTGACTGCCGGGGCAGGTTTAAAGGGAGCCCAGGACCAGTTCATGGCACTCACCACTGACGTTAGTGGGTCGATTAATCTTACCCACAGTATTCTCTCCAGAGCCGAGTGTTTATATGGACAACGCTGCACAATCTGTAACGTCACCCCCCCCTCCCACGTCTGCAACTTCGTACGTGCCTCCATCGCTCGGAAGGCTTATACAAAGCCTGTGAGCACGTTAGCACATTACCGGGTGAATGCAACCATAATCTATCCAGAGCCCTCGTTTTCATTGTCCACTAGGATAGCATGACAATTAAAATAATTAGAGAACCAAGTTACGAGATTTTCCAAGGTGTGAACACGCTAAAAAAACAGTGTCCATCATTGGGACGCTGTCTTTCCGACAGCTGTTTCTTCACCTGAAGATGGCTGCTTGTGTTGTGGCCGAAATGTCGTGAGAATTTTTATTTTATTATTTCCCTTCTACGTGACTTGACCGAAAGAACAAAGATGAGTGTCCATTGTTTATTGCTTATAAGCAACCACGTCGGTGACTGTGCAGTTACAAGGCGAATCGTTTCATAACACAACCACGAGGTGGTGATAGCCAAGGAGGCCTTCCTCCAGCAGTGGACTGATCATGGCCAATGCGACATTGCCGTCATGACGAAAGCATGCAAGGATTCGTATGGATTGCAGTTTATACGACGTCCACTTAAATCGATGCATTTTTCCACTGCATGCAGCTAGCGTCGAAAGGCTTTTTCTGAAAAACGGGCTCGTTTATCAACTCGTCACTCCCTAGGAGTGCTATCTCAGCAACGAGCAATTCCGCACGCGCCTGCGGACAGCCGGTGCCGTCACCATTCCTAAATCCACAATGAGGGACAACCTCCAGCAGCCAATCTTAAGTGACCGATAACAATGTCCCACAATCTACGAGTACCACCAAGCGCATTCTCTTCGGGGGCCACGCGTCACACCCGGCCTGCCATAAACTGGAGGTCGCAAGGGCAAGATGCAGCACCGAATTGCGTCAAGGCAGTTGCAAAAATACCCAAGTTTGCAGCAGGGCAAATCGCTCAAGAGGTGGCTTGCTACGAGCTAGCGATTCTTGCACCAAAAATCCCCAAGTAGGCCATTGCAATATCATGAAAATAACAGGCAAGCCACTAAAAGACGACCAGTAATTACAAAACCATGAGGCTGCAATCTAATACAAATCTACAATGTGATGTTACTAGCTTTGCCGAGGCTTCAGACTGCAAACATCAGGCAATCCCTAAACAAGACCAAGCAACGGTTCTGAATTAAAAAGCCGAGGTTTTTGCTCCATACCCTGCCCCGATATTGTTTTTCACAATAAAATGCGGGCAATCCAAACAAATAAACCAAGGATTGTATTGTATACAATTTGGGTCCATGGAAAACTCATGACTATTTTACAACAGAACCTGACACTGTTCTGCAAATAAGTTCAAACTCAGTCTCCAAACTCATTTTTGCTCAATATCAAGAGTTAAGTCACTTTCCTGACAAATTAGACTCGGAACAATTGTCTTGCGTAAATTACTGTGCATCCAAAGCAAAAATGGCAGACTTAACATTCTGCAAGGAAGAAAACGGAGGGTTAACGTTTCCATGAATATCAAAATGCCACGACAGATTACGAGTTACTTGCATCTCAAATGGTTTATTAATGCCAGTATGAAACGAGCATCTTCATCTGCAAGTCACTATTCAACATTTTAATGATGTTCATACACGCAACAGAAAGAACCTCCATCACCACAGCAGTAGAGTTTTCATCGGTTTGTTTGTTTAATGTTCATAGTAAGTGCACATTACAAATAAGCTTGTTGCACAGCGTGCTCCCAACAGACCAATGGCATTTTAGAGGGGCATTAACACAAAGCCCATATACCACAGGTTAACCAACCGTTTGGTCCCCATAATGGTAGCAAGGGGAGGGGGGAAAAGTAAATTGCTTTACAACAGAAAATTATTTCACGTAAAAAAACTAAGACCACCACAATTCACAGGGAAGTATCTCCCCCCCCCCTCTTGAGCCATGGACGGGATGCATGTTGAGGGCACGGCAGCTCCTGAACACCTCACGCGTCTGGCTGACTCTTCTCCTGGTCAATCGCTGCAAGGACAAACGTGGTGGAGGGAACAATTACTTTCTACAAAAGGAACTGGTTCTGAACAAATGCACACGTGGAACGGGGCAACATTTTGAGTCACCGATGAGCCGATTCATTTAGTCAAAAATACTCAATTATGGAGTTTTGGGTACATTCTGCCCGAATATTCAGAAATATTAAAGTTTTAAATGGCCTCTCCATCTTCGACAGTACAATTAAAGACTCCTTAGCAGACCGATCAAAACAATGCATTACAGGAGCATGAAAGGGATGTCATTAAATTTAACCTCAGGTCGACTTGACTTGGGCATGGAAAGGGGCACCTGCCCTACAGCCAGATAAATGTTTAATGATGAAGCAGACTTTAAGTGGCCTTCAAAAAGAGGCGTCAACAGCCGTGCAAAAGAGGCAGACACCAGCAACACCTGACAGAGCACCCGAGGGTGACAGGCCAATGCATCTGCCTAACAACCACCAGAGACTTCAATGTTCCACCACTGCTCAAATATTCATGGCCACATGCTGTGGTCACTTTTAACTATAAATCTTTGCTTTGAAAATAAATTAGCTGTACATTTGACAAAAAAATATTTCCATCTCGTGGGACAAAGCCTCCATTATTAATATCTTATCATAAAAATGTTGGATGCAAATGAATTTCCACCGGTAAGTGCAGAACAAAATCTCTACGTCCCATCAAAATGCTGGACACCTATTGAAGAGCTCTATAGCTCATCCAATTATTTCAGTATAAATAAATATTAATTCCGAAATGTCACAATGAATAATAAAACGTGCACTTCTGCGAAGGTGGCGAGGGATGGATGGATGCATGTTGAACTTCTTGCACACTGCATGCTAATCAGAAGCAGGGGTGTAGTCATGCGGAAATGAAAGCGAGGGGGCATCAAGGCATTTGGGGGGTGGGTGGAATGCAGCAGTCGGGCAAGGAGGGGGCGAGGGTAGTGAAGGGGGGGGGGGGTACTCACTCTCCTTCGTGGGCAGGGTGTTCTTTTCAGTGGTCTCCGCTTTCTTAAGCTTCGACTTGTCGAACTTCTCAATAGAACTCAGGTCTGGTTTATCTGCCATGTTGCTGCAGAGTTGATGACACGCGAACAACACCATCACACATGAGCATAGACGCACGCCACGATCTAAGATGTCATCCGAGGCTACTGCCGCATTGCGAATTGGCATCGGTGGGCCGGCAAAAGCTCACGTTATTTTGAGAGGCAATTTGCGTTCATCTGATTAGAACCACGGCGCCGGTTATCAGATTACACCAAGAACGAGGCTACATTTGACCAAGCAAGCAAGACGTACGAAGCCTCACAAATAACCTCCAAAATGTATTTTAATTTTCCAATTGACGGTCTCCCATTCAACAAGTTTACACGACCACACCCACCCATCAGCAGCAGCAGCAGCCTTCGATGGCTCTTGGGACATTCCAATGGCTCAATTTACAATCTCAATTGCAGACATCTGTCCAATAGCTTAGTTTATACATTTAAAGTCACGCCGTGGATGGTAACCGTGTTGACGCGTTACATTTATCATTTACACGGGGAGGACTTAATTTATTCACCAATTAAGAATGTGGCCCACCCTCCTGTAAAGTCAAGCGTGCCATTCTTGCACGGGGTCAATTGCTCGATATTTTATTTCTAGTCTCAAAGCGCCCTTTGTTGACAAATGGGCGTGGGGCATCCCTTTACACAAAGACGCCAACTCGCATTTGTTTCGTAAAATAAATTCTCGTATTACCTTCAGTCTGGGCTCAACAAGCAACAGCAATTACACCCACAGACGGCTAAATATTTGCAGTAGCGACACGTAAATGACCCTCGCCGCCCCTACACCGTCTACACCAACGCAACCATTCTTCAAGTGGAATATTTTCGGCGAAAAAAAATCCCACAAAAATATATTCAACATCTAAATCGTGTGCCATGATGGCATTAAAATTATAAAACTTATGGTGGCCTAGTCCGTGCTCGAGAGGGCTGCGAATGAATGAATGACGAGCTTCAGGGACACAATGGTGAGGGGCAGGGGGGCCACGCCCCACTCAACGTGGCTCGCCATTGTTCGTCTGCGGAGAGGATCGGATCGGGGCCACGACTTGGCAGTGGGATAGTGAGAGGGGGGCCGGGCCCCCCCGCCGCTTGCTGCTACGACCGAGCAGCAATCTCACAGCACAAAGGGGCACTGACTCTCCTCCTTCCCACCCACTTCGCCTCGCCGAGATGTGCCACATGCCCCTCTGCACACACCTCCCTGCTGAATAGCACCGCCACATTGGTCACAGATTTGTTATATTAACAATCTGTACACGCTTAGAAGGCCCACATGGATTCTATATATTTTTAAAAAGAATTGCTTTATGGCGTATTTGGATAAATGTTCAAATTTGGCAAGTTGCTTTAAAGCCACAGACGTGGGGGGAGAACCTTGCAATAAAAAATCCGCCCCGCCCGTTTGATCCTCCCACGTACCAGCTAATGAAAGCAAACATTATTGGCGAAAAAGAGACATTAAATCCACAAAAGGGCAGGGCAAATTCTTTTGTCAATTTTTTTTTGCTACAAGCCAACAGCTTCGCTATGCGCAAATACGGGCATCAATATAGTTATTTCAAAATATAATATATAGCGAATAGCGTTAACATCTCCACCGTTTCAAATTTAATGTGGGAGGGGGGGGGGAATAATTATACGAATAATTACACTCGAGAGTAACGTGGCTTGAAGCGAAACAAAGAGAAAGCCGGGCGAGAGGGGAGGGGGGGGGTCACTCACTTGGGATGCTCAACACAACCGCGACCTCCCGGATTCCTCGCTGCAGTGCGACTCCGCCTACAGAGCGCCCCCTTTTATACACGGCCCGCGGTCACGTGGGCTCGCCCTGACCACGCCCACATCCGTCTGGCCACGCCCATCGCCTGGTTAGCCACGCCCATCGCCGTGCTAAGCCACGCCCACAATAAATACAGTATTTCATTATATCCAAATAATAAAATTAACTAAAATTAAAAATAATACATTTAAAATAATAAAAAATAACCCACGACGTTTCGATCGCAACACAAGCGGTCTTCATCAGGCGGAGAGAAACGAGGGGGCAAGCCTCCATTTATTATTTTTTATTTAATTGTATTATTTTATATCTCGGTGACTTTACCGAAAGAACCAAGAATATGAATTCCTGCAGTCACGAAAGTAAAAATGTCACTGGTGGTGATAATGCTGATGTTGCTGCTGCTGCTGCTACGTTGGCAGACCGGTGTTTGTGTTGGTGGACAAACGCAAATACCGCAACACACAGAAATAACTCGACGCATTCATCAATAAAACTGTGCGTGGCCTTAAATGGGAGAGAGATAAACATATTTGGATGTAATAGGCGACGTTTCGGTCAATGGCCCTTCTTCATGTAAAAACAATGTTTTTTGAAGACTGATGTGATCTAAAAGGCCATTATCTGAAACGTCGCTTATGTATTGTATTCTTTTAAAACCACCGTGTTATTGATGAATGCATTGAACCCATAAAGTTGACCACGCCTTTTATTCCAGGCCCTCATTAGCATTTTGGCCACGCCCATATCTAGCTGGACCCGCCCATTGGCCACCTGTGATTCGCTCATTAACATATTGGCCACGCCGATTTCTATCTGGACCCGCCCATTGGCCACCTGTGATTCGCTCATTAACATATTGGCCACGCCCATATCTAGCTGGACCCGCCCATTGGCCACCTGTGATTCGCTCATTAACATATTGGCCACGCCCATTTCTAGCTGGACCCGCCCATTGGCCACCTGTGATTCGCTCATTAACATATTGGCCACGCCCATTTCCAGCTGGACCCGCCCATTGGCCACCTGTGATTCGCTCATTAACATATTGGCCACGCCCATTTCCAGCTGGACCCGCCCATTGGCCACCTGTGATTCGCTCATTAGCATATTGGCCACGCCCATATCTAGCTGGACCCGCCTATTGGCCACCTGTGATTCGCTCATTAACATATTGGCCACGCCCATATCTAGCTGGACCCGCCCATTGGCCACCTGTGATTCGCTCATTAACATATTGACCACGCCCATTTCTAGCTGGACCCGCCCATTGGCCACCTGTGATTCGCTCATTAACATATTGGCCACGCCCATATCTCGCTGGACCCGCCCATTGGCCACCTGTGATTCGCTCATTAACATATTGGCCACGCCCATATCTCGCTGGACCCGCCCATTGGCCACCTGTGATTCGCTCATTAACATATTGGCCACGCCCATATCTAGCTGGACCCGCCCATTGGCCAACTGTGATTCGCTCATTAACATATTGGCCACGCCAATTTCTAGCTGGACCCGCCCATTGGCCGCCTGTGATTCGCTCATTAGCATATTGGCCACGCCCATTTCTATCTGGACCCGCCTATTGGCCACCTGTGATTCGCTCATTGCTTATTGGCCACGCCTATATCGATTGGCCACGCCCATTAAAGTTCCCATTACCCAAATAGGGCATGTTGGGCTCCTGGCATCCACACCAACCCACGCGTGCCCCACACAGCCACCACGTCCCAGTTCTTTCCTCGTCTGAGTATTTAATTGCGTTAATTGCATTGATGTGTTATTTAAATGGCTCAGCACGTGCCCTTATTTGATTAATAATGAGTCGTTGAGCATGATTAGTCAATTGCAACAATAGGCCCAAACGTTGATGATGGATTGAGTGGCGTCCTTAATGCGCATTGAGAGTCAAACTGGGAATAATTGTGGATTTGATACCTGCACACAATGATCATTCGAATTCGCAAATCGTAATCTCGCATGATTTTGAATGTTCACTGACGCAGGGATCGAACCGTCAATCGATACCGTTATTGCCTTAATGCCATACCCATATCACCCAAGCAGAATTTGGTTAAGCAAGCAAATTATGGACCGGCTTCCATTTGTCGGGCTTGTTAAATGATGCAGGGTTACCCAATGCTATTGGCAAGGGCACTCCCAATAAAGTCCCGAACGCCGTTGGAGGTAATAAGCGACACTGCAACGTCAAGCCTATGGCCCAGTGCCTGAGTGGTGAACGCGTCTGTCGTGGAGAACACGTCTGTCCACTCGGCTGTGTTCACGCACACGGTACGCACCCACTACCCAGCTGGAGGACAGGACTATAATTGTTGAATCGCATTCACGTTCTCCCATATTTGATCGTCTGGTGAGTTTTGTTTTTTGCTTTAATTGGGACACGAAGATACGCCCAGGAGCGGCGAAACATCTTCCTCTGTAGCCACCAGGGTTGTGTTTTTGAAACTGCTTTTGTCTTTGTGACACATTGCACGTCTGTGTTTGGTGCTTGAACATCGTATCGCCTGTTTTATTGCCAGAAAGGGTCATCCCTGTTATTGATTACACATCTCAAGGCTAATTTGCCAATGCTTTTGCTCGGATGAGTCTTCCATCCACAGCGTGGAGTGGGGGTGGTGGTTGTTGTTTGACCATACTTCACCTCGCTGGTCAGTATGGGTTGGTGGCGGAGCGGTGGCCCAGGCAGGACTGGTTCTGTGTGAATGAGAGCTGTGAGATTCCCGTTGTCTTCAATGCTGGACAATGACAATGTCATTCCTCGTGGTGGTCTCATTGCTTCGTCTTGCTTACACGAGCTCGTCCAAGTCTCGAGTGCAGCATTCTGTTATATAAGATTACAACAAGCCGAATGATGAAGACGATTGATCTTTTTTATATTAAAAACAACAACCACGTTAAAGTGCCACTCCAGAAACCCGCTTTTTTCCGAGTGGAATTTGCGGCACTGCCGTCTGTTGCTTCACTCCGCAGTCGATGACCCCTCGCGATTCGTGCGGCTGGCTCCATGCGGGCACTACCACCCCAGGCCCATTGTCTGCTTGGCTTCTGCGAGGTAAAACGTCGATCGGGCCGGGTTTCTCGCTCACGAATAAACCATCGTGGAAATGCGCTCTTTTCCTGGTTATGGCCTTGACCTATAGTTGGAAATTCCACATTTCCATGACGAGGGCGAGCCGTTCTTTCGGAAACCTGGTTCCATATCCATTTGATGAGGCTCGCGCCATGTTTACCTGCGCCAGGTGTGGCTTATGCGTGGAACATATGTAAATACTTTCTATTACATCTAGGGACTATACAGCATGTGTAATGTGGCGTTAACGCTGGTCACATATGTGCCGATTCAGTCGGAATACGGTGTAATTGGAGGTTAAGTACGCAACAGTGGAGAACGAAGTTCCAGTTTCCTCTCCACGCATATCGATGTTCACGAGTGCATAATGTATAATTTACAGATTTAGAAGTTGCGTGTACACGTGTAAATACGTGTTTGCGATGTATGCGTCCGTTGGTAACGTGGGCAGCATTGCAAACGAGATGCCCCATTTCAAGGGATTTTCCAGGTGAAATACAGTAGTTTAAAAATAACATCTGAACAAAAAAGTGCCCTCCAAAAATATTGGGGGTGGTCCAACGGCATCGTCCAGCGTTAGAGCTTCCCCCGACATCAATGAATGCCAATCATTTCTGTCATTAGAACTGTCGGCATATTTACATTATGAAATATACAGACTCGTCACCACTCCTTTTGTAAATGCTCCTCTTCATAAATGCCAAATCACGCCAAGGGTGGAGCGGGGAGTCACGTGGCCACGCTGGGGAACGCGTCCACGGCCTGCGAGCGCCGCCTCGTGGCCACTGCCTGCCGTGGCAGTCAACAACCCGTGCCCTGTCTACCATGGCAGTCAAAAACCCGTGCCTTGTCTACCGTGGCAGTCAACAACCCTTGCCCTGCCTGCCGTGGCAGTCAACAACCCGTGCCCTGTCTACCGTGGCAGTCAACAACCCTTGCCCTGCCTGCCGTGGCAGTCAACAACCCGTGCCCTGTCTACCATGGCAGTCAAAAACCCGTGCCTTGTCTACCGTGGCAGTCAACAACCCTTGCCCTGCCTGCCGTGGCAGTCAAAAACCCGTGCCCTGTCTACCGTGGCAGTCAACAACCCGTGCCCTGTCTAATGTGGCAGTCAACAACCCGTGCCTTGTCTACCGTGGCACTCAACAACCCGTGCCTTGTCTACCGTGGCACTCAACAACCCGTGCCTTGTCTACCGTGGTAGTCAACAACCCGTGCCTTGTCTACCGTGGCACTCAACAACCCGTGCCTTGTCTACCGTGGTAGTCAACAACCCGTGCCCTGTCTACCGTGGCAGTCAACAACCGGTGCCCTGCCCACCGTGGCAGTCAACAACCCGTGCCCTGCTTAATGTGGCAGTCAACAACCGGTGCCCTGTCTACCGTGGCAGTCAACAACCCGTGACCTGTCTACCGTGGCAGTCAACAACCCGTGCCCTGCCTAATATGGCAGTCAACAACCCGTGCCCTGTCTACCGTGGCACTCAACAACCCGTGCCTTGTCTACCGTGGTAGTCAACAACTCGTGCCCTGTCTACCGTGGCAGTCAACAACCCGTGCCCTGTCTACCGTGGCAGTCAACAACCAGTGCCCTGCCCACCGTGGCAGTCAACAACCCGTGCCTTGTCTACCGTGGTAGCCAACAACCCGTGCCCTGTCTACCGTGGCAGTCAACAACCCGTGCCTTGTCTACCGTGGTAGCCAACAACCCGTGCCCTGTCTACCGTGGCAGTCAACAACCCGTGCCTTGTCTACCGTGGTAGCCAACAACCCGTGCCTTGTCTACCGTGGCCCTCAACAACCCGTGCCTTGTCTACCGTGGCAGTCAACAACCCGTGCCTTGTCTACCGTGGTAGCCACCAACCCGTGCCCTGTCTACCGTGGCAGTCAACAACCCGTGTCTTGTCTACCGTGGCAGTCAACAACCCGTGCCCTGTCTACCGTGGCAGTCAGCAACCCGTGTCTTGTCTACCGTGGCAGCCAACAACCCGTGCCCTGTCTACCGTGGGAGTCAACAACCCGTGCCCTGTCTACCGTGGCAGTCAACAACCCGTGTCTTGTCTACGGTGGCAGCCAACAACCCGTGCCCTGTCTACCGTGGCAGTCAACAACCCGTGTCTTGTCCACCGTGGCAGTCAACAACCCGTGTCTTGTCCACCGTGGCAGTCAACAACCCGTGCCTTGCCCACCGTGGCACTCAACAACCCGTGCCCTGTCTACCGTGGCAGTCAACAACCCGTGTCTTGTCTACCGTGGCAGTCAACAACCCGTGCTTTGCCCACCGTGGCAGTCAACAACCCGTGCCCTGTCTACCGTGGCAGTCAACAACCCGTGTCTTGTCTACCGTGGCAGTCAACAACCCGTGCCTTGCCCACCGTGGCACTCAACAACCCGTGCCCTGTCTACCGTGGCAGTCAACAACCCGTGTCTTGTCTACCGTGGCAGTCAACAACCCGTGCTTTGCCCACCGTGGCAGTCAACAACCCGTGCCCTGTCTACCGTGGCAGTCAACAACCCGTGCCCTGTCTACCGTGGCAGTCAGCAACCCGTGTCTTGTCTACCGTGGCAGCCAACAACCCGTGCCCTGTCTACCGTGGCAGTCAACAACCCGTGCCCTGTCTACCGTGGCAGTCAACAACCCGTGTCTTGTCTACGGTGGCAGCCAACAACCCGTGCCCTGTCTACCGTGGCAGTCAACAACCCGTGTCTTGTCCACCGTGGCAGTCAACAACCCGTGTCTTGTCCACCGTGGCAGTCAACAACCCGTGCCTTGCCCACCGTGGCACTCAACAACCCGTGCCCTGTCTACCGTGGCAGTCAACAACCCGTGTCTTGTCTACCGTGGCAGTCAACAACCCGTGCTTTGCCCACCGTGGCAGTCAACAACCCGTGCCCTGTCTACCGTGGCAGTCAACAACCCGTGCCCTGTCTACCGTGGCAGTCAACAACCCGTGCCCTGTCTGCCGTGGCAGTCAACAACCCGTGCCCTGTCTACCGTGGCTGTCAACAACCCGTGCCTTGTCTACCGTGCAGTGGGGTGAGGACGAGTCACATGGCACGGTGCCTAAAACGAGAGGGGTGTTGTAATCGGTGTACTTCGACTGAAACAGAGAATGACAAACTAACAACGTGGTTGATGAATCCACGGATGTTGGGCAGAGCTCAGGGGTCCAGTCCCACTGGATCACCTTAATGTCCTGTGTCTAATGTATTGTGGATACACATTGTGCAGATATAAATGGAAACACAGTGTGGATTTAAGCAGGCTCGCTAAATTACATATTACAATAGCACGGAGTTTCCATTTGTATTAGGAGAAATTATTGTAAACAAATGTCTTGGAGGATAGATATGTTCCGGTTGCTCGTGCGATGCTGTTAAAATGCTGCAGTCTGATGAATCCAAGATGTGGATTGGCCACACTCGGAGGCGAAAACTGGTTAAAGGAAGTGGCGATAAAAAGGACGTTGGGAAAGACGCCAAGAGGCAGAAAAAAATACTTCTGCTTGACGACTTGAAGGAAGGCGCCACATGCAGTGAAATAAACTCAAGATCAGACAGGATGGAGAGTTGGTGCCAAAGGGCTTCCATTGGGCAAATAACGAGATCAACCCTACAGGTTTTTTAGAACCTTTGTTGCATGCGAAGACAGTGTGCTTATGAAAGCAAAACAAATTTAATTGGGAACACACTGAGTTTAGTTACCAAAACGTCCCCTCGTCTCTGTCGGCTGCAAATGTGAAGTGACATCGTCCTTAACATTCCCCGAGCCCCCTCCCTTCCCACTGCTCGACTCGTTTCTGCCCAGTCGACAATCTGCAATTACAGATCCGTCACGCTCATGTGAGACCCGCATGTTTATTGTATTTGCGAACTACACACACGCTCCAGGCGGTGTACTCCAGACTAAAGCAATCAGGTGAATAATGCTCGCTTGGACCGTGCAAGGATTGAGTTGGCTGCAATGAGTAGTGTGTCCATGATAATACAGGACAATGTGGACAGGAACAAAGCGGTCTTGCAATCAATAACACGCAATGTGATTTTCGTGAATAATTACACTTTAATCAGACGAGCGGGTAGAGCGCTGCCTAGATGTATAAGTGAAGATTTGACACTTTGGATGCTTTCGTCACATTGCAATACAAACGCAAGGACTTCAGGGTTGAATGTGTCAAAAATTTAATTGTAGATTTAATGTTTTACACGCCAAGTGAAGCCAACCAAGATTATCTCCGTTCTCTTAAATCATAAATCGAACAGAATAGTTGGACAAGAAAGCATTTAATGAATTAATGGGAAATGAACAGACAGTAATAAAAAATTCACATATATGAAGCATATACATGGATATTAGCTCTCCTACTTGCACACACGGATACGACAGTTGCTGTAAAACCGATCATTTCCTTGAAGCTAAAACCACCGTTTCCCGATGCAGTGGACAGCCTGCCCATTTTAGAAATCGACGCCAACAAAACACAGCTGTAGTTCGTGACGAGGATGATGCTGGTTTAAGTATTAAAAGCTTTCTAAAGAGGACACTGTACCATTTTCAGAAGAACAGAGCAGATTGACACGTGTACTTATCGAGACCACACTTAGACGATTCTGTTCGGTAGAAAATGGTCTTTACAGCAACTCGCTTTACTTGGGCATTTTTTACACTTCAAATATTATTACAGCAGTGACTTGAACAACAGCCATAACATATACTTTTTTTTGCTAAATACAACAAATAGTTAGTCATTTAAACAAAGCATTTTTTTACAGTTGAAACTAAATTAAAATAAAACAAACCCTGTGCTTTCCCGGACAGGCAGAATATGTTTTGAAAACTCGTTTTAAAAGGTCACAATCCATCGGTGAACCCATCACCCACTGTACATATTCGTCGACTACAAACCCTGTAAGATAACTGGCACACAAGAAGCGACTGCACATTTTGGGATCGGGTCTTTGCTCATCCTTTGCATCAGACAAGTTCAAATATTTCATAAGATGCGTGAAAGCTGCAACTGCTGTGTAGTTCATATGTACACATTTTAGGAACATGGCTATTACAAAAAAAGACGTAAAAATATTACCTTTGCGTGTAAAAAAAAATGACTGCACGAAAAGCTAAATGTGTTCATAGGACAGCGTTGAAGGACCAAGAGGTCGTGATACAGCTTTAGCAGATGCAGTTCATGGGGATTGTCCCACGGCGCCCTTCTCTACTCTGCGTAGAGGGCCATCCCAACCACACGTATTGGAAGAGCTCTGTATTTGTAGCAATCTTACAAGCAACATCTTAAATGTGAGTCGATCGAATGTGGAGTCTCCACACTTGCACACAAAGGAGAAGTCATCACTTGAACAATGACATACACTCACATGCACACACACATTGACCATAGTTTTATAAAATCACCTCTTTTGTAAAATTCCACGTACAAATTATTTAAAATGGCGAATCCGACAGTCTGCCGCAGGCCCGTAACAAATAACTGATGATCGCACACTGGCAACAACCTACTCTGCCCAGACTAAAGCACGATTATAAATACCCATAAATAAACAGCAAGCTTTCCTTACATCTACAACTACGCACACGCGCACATACGAGACAGAACTAAACGTTAAATGCATGCCCGTCATTAACGCACTATCTCAAAACATTATCGTCTGCATTAGAAGTACCAAACATATGAACAATATGAATAACAACAAGCATATGAAACAATGTCTGAAACCAATGTTAGAATTCGGACGAATTAATCAAGACGGCTGCTGCAAAGCACTGACATCAGAGAAGGCCATATCACCAAAAAAAGTAGCAGCAAAATAATTTTTGCAAGAAAGTATTCAAAGGTCGACTGCATGGGTATTCTAATAATAGCTCGTATACGCTCTTAAACTTATCTGCACCAGTGCTAAAACATGAAAACATGGGACGCTATTAAATGGAAACTGCACACGTAGACAATAGATGTTTCTGGAAACACCAAACCGACGAGGTGTGGGCCGACTGGCAGATGAGAAATGGGACAAGGTTGACCCAACGTCACGGCCTGGAGCAGACGCATGAGTTGGCGGCCATCGTCAAAGTGTGCATCCCTGGCAGGGCTCGTGATGCAAGACACACAGCAAGCCCCTTTGCAAACCTTCCCACACTACACGATTATTTCATGAATGTGCAACGCCGATATAAAAAAAACACACGACGTCCAATGGCCTGTAGCATGGCGTTCTCCCAATGCCAAGGAACGTAACAAAAAAAATTGCTTTGCATAAATGATGGATGATATGGCTCCCATCATAAGCTTATGAAATTTTCACCTCCCAGTGGCAATTTGTGTTGTCACTGAAATTGCTTAAAATTGCAGATGTTGCATAACATTGTCTCCAAAAACAAGCACGACAACCACCAATTGCTTTGCTTTACAGTGTTGTGCATCTTGAAAGTGAACTGTGCAAAGGCTGTCTTTACTCGGCTCCATATCTGCAGCCGGAGGCGTGAATACACTGTAAAATATGGCCTGTTCATCTATTACCCGCGAGCTCATCACAAACGCGAAAGCAATCCGCGCCAGAAGGACCTTTAAAAAAAACCGCGACCCCTCGACAATGATGGACATGAGACGTCTTCCCCTGCTGCAAGTACTTTCGCTCTGTGAGAAGACCACAACTGGTGCCGGAAACATTGCTGCGTCCCACAAGGGCCAACCAAATTTGACCTCGGCAATGGAAAGCAGGTTTCGTATCGCAATAGGGCGGGTTCCGTGTCCTCGTCTTGGCTGATGCAGTAGACACGCAGAGCTGTTGGGCACATACGTATACTCAGGTCACTTGCAAACCAGACCATCCTGGTCTCACCTGGTTCAACAAAGTTTTCGCCTGGTTAAATACAATAACTTAACATGTACACTCCTTGATTTTTATGTGTTCAATGCAAACTCATAAAATGAGTAACACCGCAGTAAAACTATTAACTTAGACGGGGGCAAATTTAAAAAAATGTGTTCCCTCAACTCAAACAAGTTTACTACGACTCCACCACCACCTCGGATATTCAAATTAATCTCGTAATGGAAGCAACACACTTATCTCATACAAAACTTACATGCATCCAAACATCATGGATCAATATTAGTTCCATGGTATTTCAAGGTAACGGGTTACCCTGCATACATGCATCGTCAGTGCAGTCAGAGGCCCTGTAGCGGCGACATTTGTTGAGCTTTCACCCACGCCAGGCAGGTTGGCGGAGGTGGAGGAAGACACTAACTGGTCACAAGATTTCCACTGATCAGCTTTACTGGAGTTTGCTCCAGTGTCCAAGATTTCAACCTTGAACATAAATTTATCAGACGTCTAAAACAGATGTCTAGCGTTTTAGTTGTATACAGTATCCCTCCATACTTTGATTGACTCTTACGACAGTTAACGATTCTGTAAATGCATCCAATAAGATGAATTCACAGAACCGAGACTGAAGTATTATGGGCACTATGATTACAGTGTATCACGCCTACGGTGTATTAGTTAATCGAGCACTGCCAGGCAGCATGAACACATTATTAACAACTATTGCCACTTTCACATGCAGCGTTCAACTTTGGACGCACGATGATCGACGCTAACATTGGTCCCAAAAATACTTCGGCGTAATACAAACACAAAGACGGTGCACACGGTTAAATAGAAAAAGTGACGGTACACTCCCGACCCAGTAAAAAAGGATGCAAAAGTGTTGCATGCCAAAGTAACTGTAGTTTATGTGAAATAAATGTAACATACACATCCACGTCAACAAAACGGTGGTCTCAGAGGGCAGACTTGAGCAGAGCTATCGTTTCAAAAGTCGTGCAACGTTGGTCGAGATTAAACACTCGTATCATTTTCATCGGTGTAAAAAGAACACTTTAAAAGCGATTCTATTTGTGAGGATTTTTGTGCCGTTGATATGCGAGCAAATGTTGAAATCTTTTCACGCTTCAAAATGTCATCGTAAAAAAAACATTGTTCTTCCAGAGACGGTCGAAACTATGGTTCTGGTTTGCACTTACAAGTTCTGCATTCCCTGCACAATCCGGGGGCTCCATGAGACCACTGTGTTAAACCAAAGCGAGCAATGCTCATGATAGTGATTGCAAATTCTTTGTTAAAAAAGGCCTGTTTAAAAATAAAAAATAAACTTTCACATTTACACCGGTGGACTAAATAAAATTGCAACAACAACAAAAATGACACTTAAAAAATCATCCTATAAGTTTATCGGGAGGTAAAAAAAATACAAACATTAGAAGGGATGATGCAAAGAGACGAGATGAGCGTGGAGTACTGCAATGAGAGACATTCTAACGCCGTAAGACGGGCTCGAGAGCTCAGTGGTTGGTGGAGCGTCACGTCAGTCACGTGTCCTTGCATTATTTGACAGCTGAATAAATTACAGTACTTGTACTGCTTGCACAGGCAACGTATCACTGCATTTAAAAAAATATATACACACACACTTAAATACATATATTTGTGTATATACGTTATATCTATACTTATACTTGTATATACTTTTAATTGAATTTCTTACCCACGAATAGTTAATACTCCGCAATGACCATTACTAGGTACCGGTGCTGTACACAAACATTGAGAATAAGTTGTGGAAATCAGTGATTCTGGGCTAACAAGAAGAGCAGTGTTCATTCATGCACTGCTCTTTGCGAAGTTTGCAAATGGGCAGTTTTATGTAGCGTGACTCGTGTGGCCTGGGCATTTGAAACACGTACACACTGAAATAATAGCTACTGTCATTGAATCAGCAGGACTGGCCTCCTTGGTTCAGGGCTTAGATAGGTATCCTTAGCACGTGGGCACTCAGTGATGGTCACTCCTGAGATGTAACCAAGAACACTAAAAGTAATCTACAAGTGACACGAAAAAAATGAAAATATAAATGTCATAAAATTGGCGAGGAAACGCTCCAAATGAATTATGAGTCAAGATCTGAAGAGGCAAGAGAAGCTTGGAAACATTGCCGTGCCAGAATCAACAACGCTGTGACGATTCGCTCGCCACTCTGGTCAAATAAGATGGTGCCGTGGTGATGCCATAAACCAGAGAAATTACACACACACAAAGAAACGCTCCACATGTGCTTAACTTGCAAATTGGGGGGTCATGGTGGCTGTGCGAGACAAAGAGATGGGATGCTCAGCTTTCCAAACGACAGCAACACGCTAATGGGTCACCACATTGCAAGCTACGTTTCCCAGAGTTCTTAGCGCTTGGGATAAGTGTGAGCACCGTGTCCTATACATCTTTGGCAAGCCACACATTTCCACCAAGCTCAAGGAAATGTTATCAAGAATAATGCTCAGATCTGTGACCGCTACACCACAACGTACACATCAAAACCAGTGTTCAGAGTTGGAGCTTGGATACATCTCCAGCAGAATTAATCAAGTGAAGCATTTATAATGAATGTGCAATAATCCTTTCACATCATTACAGCTGGAAAAAAAATCTATATCCACAATGTGCTAGACTCACTCGCACAAGCATGTATCCAGATTAGTGTTTTGCAACATTGCAAAAATTAGAATGGGAAAGTCACTTCAGAGTTCAAGTTAAACGACAAACGACTCTTTGTATTGTTTTCAGCATCTTGCCAGGTTTGAGAGAGGAAAAAAAATGTATATTTTAAATTAGAATAGGTACAGTCAAAATGTGTTAAAGGGTTTCCCATTTCCAAGTAACATAATCAAAATTTACATTGCAAACACTCCTTTTGTGCTGTACCCAAGTGACTATAATACCAAAGGTGATATCCACATTTTCCAGTATTGTAAAAGTAAATTAAAACTATTGAACCTGTTCTAGAACATTGAGATATTATTGCAGAAATAAAATTCGAACCACAAGGCAGGGCACTCAGGGTTTAACCTTCCAACGTCTCGTAGTCACCGTGCAAACAATCTTCCCTTCAAGCACTTCGCAAGCGGGAAATGTACCCACTGAAAACTCTATTCAGCACGGTTATGCTCAAGTAAATTTGTCACATCTGTATTCTATTTGGTGCCTCACTCTGATGCAGTCAGTGAATCACCAATGTATAATGAGGGCGAAGGAATATCCATTCTTTCAAATGGGCTCTCACTCAATACGACAATTATTGCTGGGTCTTTTTAAAATGAAAACTTGGTCACTCTTCTCACTGTGGCACTTTTAAATTTCAAACTGACGTGATCCACAGACATTTAATTTGTGTATAACAGGATGGGGATTTCGTTAATTTTAGGTAACACAAAACTGAAGATCTATTCTGGCAGACTCACTACATCAAGCTGCCACAAAGAACAGGAAATGAAAAAATGTGGGAAAAAATGACAAACTCAAGCCAATTATAATTCCTGGAAATAAAATCTCTGCACTGTCCTCTTTGGCTTTTGTGTTAAGTTTCATGTTAGTGTTTCAGCCAAACATCAAGACAAGCTTTGAATAATGAAAAGAGAGCGTATTTGTCATACAATGTAGAACAATATATAGGAAACGTCGTATTCTATTATTATTAATTTATTTTCTTTCTACGTGACTTTACCAAAAGAACCAAAGAGTAATATATAGGAAGATGCAAAATATTCAACTGTTTTCAATGTTACCACAGATTAGATTAATGGGCCCACGAATGATAAAACATACTACCAATAATTAATTCCTGTGGTGTTTTACACAAGAATTCATCGACAACATAAATTGTTGTTATCAGCCCCCAGTGCCTTCCAACCTTGAACATTCCATCCTCTAACAAAGAAACCCTATAAAATATATCTAACACGAACTGATCAAATGGATGCTTATACGCCAACCAATGTGCGATGGGAAAAAAACATGAAAATATAAAAATGGGACCTTGGATTTCCTTGACAAATAATTTATAAAATCGATGAGCGAAATAAAGTTTGTAACAGTTGGTTAAATGTAATTTTTTTTCATAAAATTCCAAATAGTACCAACTGGAAGGACTCGCCATATAACGGTGTGACATTGGAACAACATTTGTGAAAATAACAGCAGTCTGCACAAACAACATTGATCTGCCAGAGAAAAATGAAAAAAACGTATGTTAAATGTTAGCCAAGACTTTTTGTTTGGAATTGTGTATAAAATGACTCACAATCATGCATTGACCACCGAATTTTGAAGTGTTTTCCCCATAATGCTTTTAAGTGGAAGTTTTAGGCATGTCTGATTAATATATTACTCACGATTAAAGGGGGGAGTGAAAGGACAAATAGGTAATCAATTATAGCAAGAAATGCAACTTTTGAAAGATTAGCAAAAACAAGTCACGCTCACCTTTCAAATGACAGCAAATTCTTGTCATTGACCACAAAAAAACCTAACATCCTATAATCACTTACAAGAGAAGCAGACACACCGAAAAGCAGACAGTCATGGCAGTTCACGTGCACAGTAATTGTGAGCTGTGCATCAAACTAAAGACGTACATGAATAAATACGTTAAATTAATTACAAAATATGAGTTTGCACTGCTGCCGTACGCGCAGCCGAAGGGGAGGGGGGGGGGGCTTGCTCTTCGACCAACAGGCAAGTCAGGAGGGCGGCTGGTTCCCTCTCAGGCCCGGCGTTCTGCGTTCTCCAAACCGTCACAAAGTTTACTCAAAGGCAACTGATCGCCCTTGGTGTGATGTGCTGTCAAAAAATTCAGCCAGAAGGTTGGGTGGGGGGGGGGTGCTGCTTGCCGTCTTAAAAAAAAACGTTTGCACGATGTCATTAAGAAGCATGCCACTGAAGAAGCTTGATCTCAACTCCCCGAGAGGTTGAACCTTCCAAACGGTCACAGACGATAAAAATTGTCAATCGATGCGGGACTGTCTGCATGACCCGTCTTGTGGCGGTCGTGAAAGGCTCAGGCGGTGGCCGGAATTAAAGCCGGTAAAGCTTCGTCGCATTCCGTCGTGGCAGTCCCTGGCTCTCCCCCTTCCCCTCCTCGGTTCACTGCACATCACAGCAGTTGCCCCTCAAAGCGAAGCCAGTGGAGTCCTTGGCGAGTGTAGCGCACCAGCTCTGTCATGCTGCTGTTGAGAGTCAGTGCCCCCATCAGCTGGTCCAGGTCACGGAAGAACTCTGCGGGGGAGTGCGCACACACAGAGACAACGGATAATTGTTTAGACATACAGTCGGAGCAAGTGATGTTATAAGTAGGCATTTTCAAGGCATGCATGGTACACAAATGGGTGGTCACAGCAGCGCCCAGAGTCCAGGCTCTCCCTTTACTCCCCAGCGCTGTCTCGAGGGGAGACCCATACAAGGTTTTATTTATCAACTGCTCCTGTTGTGCATGGCCATTAATAGAACCTAGATGGGCCCGCATCATAATGCAGTGATGTTAAGCATTTCCCTACCCTTCTAATTACACACAATAGCGGTTAGGATAACCACACAAACACACATGCTCAATCAAGTTCTAATCGTTAATGTTGGTAAATCCCATCTGGTTTTTTAAGATTAGAAAAACAACTGTGCCACAGTGCAATGGGCAATTGAACCACAAACCCTTTTGCACAGGAAACATTATTCAGCTAAAGCTATACATGAATTGTATACCAATCACAGTGACCATGGGCTTCTCTTTAATTCAGCATGCAAGGCATTAGCCATCCAATAAATTCACCCACACCTCTATACAACAGCCCCCAGGTAAACGTTCAGTGCTTACAAAGACTACCCTTTACATGGACGAGCAGCCTAATCACCACTCTCGAAGCGGTCAGATGAACTGCCAAGACACCCGACGGTGACTGGGAGAGGCACGTGGAGAATGTAATCTGTAATAATGATTTGTGTTTGATAAAGAAAGCACCCTTAACGCCGGGGCGTTTCGAAGCGCTTTCCACGTGATAAGAGACTTACATTTGAAACGGCACCCCCAGTGGCAACGGCTGTCCCCGTACGGCACAAGGTGACCCAGCACTTGGGCTACAAATGGGCATTCGTTTGCCAGTCGAGGATGATTGCTATGTGTAATCCGAAGAGTAATTTTCTCTGGCAATTTTTATTTATTTATAATATACGGACCATGACACTGGCACACAACGGCCTACTGATTTCAAATAGATGTCGGTGGACGGCAGTGTCCAATGTGAACCGGAAGACGTATTTTACAGTCGATACATCCGCAGTAATAACCAGGGCGCCCTGCCGGAATCAAACCGCGAGCCTCTGTAACTAGCGGCGAACGCGCCACCGCCCACGTACCGTGGTTCTCCTTGGCCAGCAGCTCGGCCTGCTCCCAGTGGTCGTAGCCGTACAGGAAGTGGTTGGTGATGTTCACGTGGCTCGCCGCCATCTGGTGGATGCGCTGCGGGATGGTGACCGTGGCCACGGGTGACGAGGACGGTGCCGCCGTGTTGGCACTGCCCTGCGAGCCCACCGAGCCCGCCGGCGACGGCGTGGGAGACATGGGAGACGGCGTGCCGTTGCCCCTGCATGTGCGCGTGTCAGAGTGCGAGTGTACGTATGGGGCGATGCGATAGAGCAGTGGTTAGTAAATATGCCTTTGTTACGATGCGTTGTGTTATGCGGCTGGTGACACAGGTGTTGTTAATGAGTCCGAGTGTTTATTACAATTGTTGGCCTCGTCTACAAAAGAAGCAATTTTTAAACAATCTGGCAAATTATGTGCAATGTCTTGTGTTATGACAATGTGAAAATGTAATTCTATACACAAATAAACCATATTTACTCAACTTTTAAACATTAATAAACAACAATGTTGCAAGTTAAAACAAAATAAAGTCACCGTTATTTTGGGTAAAGTTTCATGATGGGATGTGTTTGTATCCAGGTGCATGTGTGTGTGCACCAGCGGGGAGTGGCGGTGCAACAGTTAGCGCCGTGCGCTACTAACCCAGAACCCGCATTTGATTCCCTGCCACAGTTGACACTGGAGGTGAAAATCTAAAAGCAGTCTTAGGTCGACTAAGTCTTAAACAAGTACCTGGTGTGTTGTGTAAACATCATCACTGGGGAGACAAATATGTGGTGCAGGCCACACGACCCCCTTGTGTGCCGTACCTGCCTTAATATGCGCTCGCGAATATAGCACGTGCCCCAACAGCCTGCAGCAGGGCTGCATGTGGGTTGGATCTTTGTCCGTTCTTGTGCAAGTGTTCAGGCACAAGCGTGCTGTGTGAGGGCTAGACTGTGGCACAGTCTTACAATGCACAAAGCTGCCCTCTCCCCCCCCCGCCCCTCCGAATGTTTGGGTCACTCTCTCCTCCCATGTCCAAGTGCGGCGATTAAGATGCTTAATTTGTTTTTTTAAACATTGTTTAAAGTGTGTTTATAAAGCTTGTCCAAGTAGCACGGGCAAAATTGAAACGTTATAATAATGTTTTTATAGACGTGTTTAAGCACGTGGACATTGGCTGGTAAGATTAAACAAGCTGAGAACAGACCAATGCCTGTGAACTGGATCTTCATAGCACATCAAGTTGTTGCAGCATAAACCAAATGTCTGTGTCTATGTCATCCAATTGTAATAGAAGATTGATTTATTAGTTGTGATTACAGGATTTAAATTAGAAATCTACAAATTAGGCTGCTGCACTGGTGTAAAGGCATAATTATCAATATATTTTATCACCATCATATTTAGCAAACTTTGACCTTGAAATAAAAACAATAGTTAACCAGCAAATAATGTGTGGGGAACTACTCTCAAAGCCAAAACCTGTTGGGCTCATGCAAATCCGTGTTTACTTGTGTCTAGGTACATGGAGTGCATGGGGTATGTCCTGAGACACGTGTTTACTTGTGAGTTCACTTGTGTGTACACATATATAGACGTATAGACATACCTTCCGGTCCAAGGTGGTGTCTGCGACATCTTTGAGGCATTCTGAAAAAGAAACACAAAGCACAAACACCTTGCAATGTCGGCAGTTGACACTAAAAACCATTAGTTTTACACGTTAGGTTTCTAAGACCAATATTACGTACGAGCTTCTTTTGCAATCTAAGCAAAAAGTAATCGAATTATGAACGAATAACCATGAGTCAGAAAAAACCCCACAGCATTAACAACTTCTCTAATCACGCTTGCAGTGCGCCTAAGTAAGACTCATGGCGCTCAGCGCTCATAAATATTGACGCACTACAAATCAAATAGAATGAGTGACTGCCAGTTAATCAAAGTAAAAAAAATGTTGGTGCAGTTTATGTTTTTTGGATGTCGGTAGTGAAAATGTGCCAAAATCCTAAAAAGTCTCTGACATGCAGGAATGTTGGTGTGGCATGCTGTGTAATGGCACGCGTGCCGTTTAGCAACAATGGACCTCTTGGGATGGCAGCAGCACTTGTGTGAATCACAAACTACCATGATGGTAGAGTCACTTATTTCGTCATTTGGCATCCAATCTTACACAAAATGTAAATCTGCCTTCATAGTTTTCACAAAGTCTCTCGGCCAACCTCAAAATGGGAGACTTCGACCTCAAGAGGCCGCCCGTGTTTGCAAAAGGCAGCCTCGCTTACCATATTCAAATCACCCCGTGCATAAAGGAGCCATCTGGTGTTATTTATTTATTTAACGCACTCGGCGCTTGCGAGCACACACCAGCGTGAACGGCGGGCTGCTGTTTATGCGCTAGCCCCACTGTGCACCATTCTCCATTACGGCACGTGATTAATCCACACGCTAACCTGTCATTTAGCCCGGCCTGTCCCAACGCTTTGCGTGAACACGCCAATTCAGCTGCACTTGCATCAAGGCCGGCGGGCCGGAGTTTCGGATTCCGTGCTGAGCAGCGGAGAGGCTTTTTGGAGAATTCGCTGCCTTTCATTGCTGACCATATGGCCCAGCCATCTGTCTGCCCCCCGCCCTCCCCCCGTTCTCTGTAGCGGGAATTTCAGCTGCTCACTCTTTACGTTTATTTATATCAGATTTGTTTTTCTCTTCTCTTTCGTCACGTACTTGTTCTGGGTATTTAAATGTATTCATGTGTCCATCGTGTGTTAGGCACAAGGGGGCATATGGACTACAAGTCTTGCCATGCAATATAAATCTGACTTATTAAATTAGGTCACCAACATAGCTGCCATCATTTACGTTTTCGTCCACTCTCAATCCGCTGTTAGATGATGGCGAAAACACTCAACCTGCACAGATGCAATCCATTTGACTCCCAACTGTGCTCTTATTTAATTTCTCCATCTGCACTTTGGTCATTCCCTTGTGAGCGTTCCCTACTGCCAGATGCATCCAGTTTACCATCTCTGTTGGTGACATGCCCCGCTCAAGTCCACTTGTGTTTGGGGTTTCACAATAGTTGCCACGATAGAACTTTTCACGATACAATACGAATAGTTATCAGTTTCAGTTCATATCAGTTTCACGTAATATTGTAAATCACATCTTCACTGTAATGTGCTGTGCTGTACGTCTATGATGAATAAATAAAATCCCGTAATGTTGTTCAACGGCAGTTCACTCAAAATGACTCTAGCATTAGTATTCTAATCTTTAGAACTCTGCCATCTGTAACATTTGCTGTTGTCACACGAAAAATACATTATTTTAATTACAAAAATAAAATCTTATAATTGCCATGCTGTTAATGGCTCAATTAATTTTTTTCGCAAAGCATTCACTTGATGAATAATGGCTTTTTATATAGAACTGTGATTTTTGAGTCATTTTGTGAATGTTTTGTTGGAAAGTAAGACATGTAAGTAAAATTAAATGACTAACAACAAACACTGACGATATAGTGCAAAAAGCAATACAATTATCGTGGCCCTTACATTGTACAATTGATCATAACTTCGCCATATCATGGCAACTTCATTTCAAACATCAACCCTCTAACACAATATATATCATCCCTCCTTTCTAAGTAATTACAAGCATCCATATTTGCACGTTCAATGTGATTTACGTGACAATTATCGTCATAATGAAACACTTAACAATGCCAACAACTTTCAATACCTTGAAATGCTCCAGGAGAGACTTGGAATATTTCATGGCGCTGTCCTTTTTCAGCTTGAACATCCTCAGGTAGAGCAGCGCCAGGCAGCGGAGGCTGTCACGGAGAAATTACACACTTAACACGTCGGTTTTTGCAACCAATGATTCATAATAATATTTTTAGGTTAGACCATTTAATGACCTCACCAAATCTGCCATTAGGAACCCTCCCCCACCCGACACGGCCAAACAAATTGCCACGTGTAGAGGCGTTTATCGTGTCAATAATTGTTTCAGCTCACTGGTAAGATGACGAGCAAGCCTCACAACCAAATGTAGAAATTAGATATATGAATATTCTTTGGGTCTTTCAGTAAAGTCACGTAGATAGGTTGAAAGAAAATAACAAAAAACTACGATGTTTCAATCGCAACACAAGCGTTCGTCATCAGGAAAAGGGGGTTAGCTTCTAAAGGCAAACTGTTTATAAATGTTTGAAATGGGGATAGCCCAAATGTCAGCAGCATGGGCGGGACAGCGAATGTTGATGGCAGTGGTGGGCGGCGACCGCGACGGTGGTGAGTTTTCCCCTAATTGAAGGGCACCGTCGCCACCTTTTCCTGATGACGACCGCTTGTGTTGCGATCGAAACGTCGTAGTTTCTGGCTATTTTCTTTGAACCTATCTACGTAACTTTACCGAAAGACCCAAAGAATATGAATTCCTGCAGTCACGAAAGCTTTAAGTCAAGATTTAGATATATGAAGCGGAGTTTGAAATTGTCAAACATCATCAGGACAGGATCCAGAAAGCCAACGTCACACTCCATCCAGGAAGTCAGAATCAATTGACCTTCTGCATTGTTATTCTGACTGCTGCTAGTGGGGACCTATTCTGGATGGACAACTTATTAGACAAAGTTAAGGAAAGGAGACTACAGTGGCTCAGACACATTACAACAGAATCCCAAACTTAGCAATGCTACACACACACAAGCAGAAGGAAACGGGAGCAAATGAAGATGCAGACAGAGCCAGATGCAGAGATGGAGTAGGAAGTCTTGAATACAGGGAGTGAGATCGAATGAGGCGGTAATACTAGCTAGAGATACATGGTGAAAATGGATTTAGCCCTCATGACTGACGAATAGGATACATGATTAAGGATGGCAATGGCACAAGCGGGTAGATGTGGGCAACGCCACACTTGGTTGCCTGTCTATCAAGTGCTGATGTTCACAAACTGCTAAATATACTAATTTAAGGCTTTAGCCAGCTTTTTAGATGCCAAGGTTCCGATACCACTGATGTTATTCATGGCCAGCAAATCAAACCCACTAGCCATGTTTGTACCGCAGTGCGCTAACCACCGAGCCACAGATTTCCACAGGCTGTCGGACATGCCACAAGACACTTTCCATACGACTGGCCAATGTGGAAACATTTGAGGCCAAATGTTCCTGGAAAGAGTAGAGAGCCGCACCGTTAGCGTTGTGGGAAGTATGCACAGGGGGAGACTTTTAAAACCAACAGCGTTGTTAGTGTGGCATGAGCACGTGTACATAGTTTGCCAAGCATACAGCGGTTATGTAAGGAGTGCATTGAGCGAGTACCTGAACACCCCAAGCTTTTTGTCGGCCGGGGTCGAATCTGGAGCAGAGTGGCTTTTCAACTTCATGGCGTACCTGCCGTATCAAAGAAGCGCCTTTACTTAACCACGTGTTGGCTCTGTTCATGATTGAAACTTTTAAGGAATTCATCTCAAACACTGAACAAGCACACGCGAGTGTTTGACGGCACATTTTATTCACCTGTTAATGATGCAGTTCTTTCATATATTTGCTGGTAGTGAAAACATGTTAAACAGTTGTGTGTTCATTATTTCCATTTTCATTTTAGACTAAATAGAAAAAACAATCTTAACGGTTAACATACCCTTTTTTTCAGCAACCAGGACTCTGATCAAAATCCCCAGGAAGCCTGGCTCAGTGGGAGGTTGGTTCTGGTTCTGCTGCTGCACCTCTGGTCTAGAATGCCCTCTCTCTGGTTATCCGCTTGGGGGAGGACTGTCTCCCTGTTCAAGCTTAAGCCTTTCATCTTCTCTGTCGATGGCTATTCAAGTGACTTATATTAGAAGTCCTCTTCCATCTATACTCTCCTCAAAATCCAATTCTCCCAAACAATAAAATGTATCCTCCCCAAAATCTTATAATGGCCATGTTCTCCCAGTGTACAACATCTTGAGATGCAAATTTAGAAAACGTATAAATTCGAATGTATTATACTTTCAACAAATTGTACAATGTCAAGAGACGCAAAGTATCCATTCGAAATTCTCGCAGATCAGTGCAACCCTTCTTCGCGTTAATCTGAGAACAGCCGATGAAAGTAGACATCACGGAGCAACCTCTGAGACCCCTTCAAGTGACTGCTGGTCCTCACGGTAGAGGGTAGAACTTTCCCCATGCGCTGCATTTGAAATGAACGTTCACCACAGGAGAGTGAAATTGAAATTTAATATTCTCCGACATGGAATTTGGCTCCATTAAGTGCAGAACGTACGTGAAATGCGATAAGGATTTTTTTTGTCGTGCAGTGATTCATGACTGGGTTGAGACCATCAACTCACGACACTTTAATCACCGACAAATGCCTGGATTCAAAGTCGCCGGGTACTCAGCAGTGCCAGCCGAGTACTCTGACCTCTGAGCTACCGGGCCACCTCAAACGTTGGATGTGAATCAAGAGGCCTTGAGACATCGGTGGAAGGCGCCTCACAAGCCAAGTGTGAATTATTATCAACAAGGGGTTAGAGGCTGTGCTTCTCGTGGGTCGCCCAGTGGCCTGCCGGTGGTCCTTACTGTCGATGGCCGGAGCCGGAGCAGCATGGTGGCAAAACTCACTTGACGAGGTCGGTGGTCTCCGAGTACATGGTGTACGGGGACTTGGCCTCGAGAGGGTTCTGCTCCATGGCGTTGCCGCACTCGATGAAGGAGAGGCCTGCGTCCGTGTAGTTGATCGCCTTTCCCAGCTTGTCCGACTGAGAGTGGTGTGGCAGCAACACAATATTTAGAATCAGAATCAATACAATACAGACAAATACAGCAACACGGCACGGTCGTTTTATTTGTACTTCACAATGGCACCAGGTTATAGATACCCACAAAAATTACGTGAATAAATTGTAGAAGAGAATTAAAAAAACCTACATAATTTCCATCACCTCCACGCGTCTCAGACTACCAATCTCTAATTCACTTACGAGATATTTCACCACCGTCAAATATGGCGCCGTCGCTTTCGCAACATTTAAATCACGTGTTGAGAAGTAAGAGTCACAAGAAGTGAGCAGGGCATCTATAAATGGATCACCCTGCACCTCTGCAGGGGCACGTTGCTTTGAGGAAGGGCCATTGAGAGAGAAACGTAAACTCGTTACTGGAAGGGTGCGGCAAAAGGCCAGGAACCAGAACGATATTGGCGCTGCCCTCGTCGAAAATGCGAGCCGAGTGCAATAAGATCAACGTGGACGTGTTGAGGAATGTTCAGGCACCCCGTGTCAAATGGACTGAGATGCGTGTCCAAGCAAACGGTGTACAGAGCGAGCATCTGCTATGATTTTCTGTATAGATACACGGTTCCTGGCTTCTGACGCACACTATACATTCAATTACACGGTAGTGTACAGTGCTGCTACTGACCACACAGGGCAGAGGTGACTTTGCAGCCTTTGAATTGACGCGACACTTCTGCTAATGTAGTTGCTTAAGTTAGATGAGGAAGTTCAGTGAAACTGGCTTGCAAAAAGGCCCACTTTTTTAAGTATGCATATAGTTTCAGTCATAGGAAATGGAAAAAATTGTGCACATGTTGTATAAGAATGTTAAATGATTGCAGTAATGCTGAGGGCATGGGTCCTAACAATGTCAAATCAATCAAAGATGTAAAGTAATCTAGTTTATAACCATCATAATTCACCCTCATAAATGAATGGCAATATTACAAATATTTGTGCAATATATGTTTATATTATTTTGACCAAGATAACATTTTTGAGTAGTGGTCCTTCAGGGCAGTGATTATCGCCAACTTGTTGCGGTTCAACACCATTTCTAGAATGGTCTTCTGTGCTGGGCGCAGCCTTACCATGCCATCCGCCATGTGTTTCAGCTTCTTGGCCTCTTGCATGTGGAAATCCACCGACTGGGGTCTGAGCACACGACAGTTCACGTGGAATAGAGAGCGGGGCAACCAGTGAACAAAGGGGAGCGCGTACGAGCATTGAAGACACGAATGCATAGCAGGCGACATCAGGAGCATTCCAACTCATGTCCATCGCAAATTAGTTTTCCTGACCCCGATATATAACGGAAGACATTAGTTCGGGCAAACCAGAGGTTGCCAACCAAAGGGGAAATGGATGATGATAATAATGTAATTTATTTATCAAAGAAAGGCTTGATGATATGCAGGACTCTCTCAGTAGGGTCCTGCACTGTGTTTTGTACGTGTACCTAAAGCCAGATGGTTGGATGGTCTAAAAGTAAACCTCCAAGGTCAGATGTCAACTGTGCAACAGTTGCCGATTTGACGAAAGAAATCAATGGCAAGATGTGATGGCATCAGCAGCACTGGCAAATACGACCTCTTGACCGTGGCTATTTATCATCATCAAGAGCCACCGCTACTCAGGTTTCCTAAACACATCTGGGTTGTGCGCGGGATCGGCACCCTCAACCCAGGCTTAAAACGCCACGCCCACACACTAAAATAGCGCGCACTCACTTGTCGTCGAACACAAGCCGGGGCCTCAGTAGGGTGGGAGAGACGGCGCACAGACCAGGCTTGGTGAAGAGGGCCTCGGACACCTGTCTGTCATCCGCGACGCTGTCCTCCTAAAACACACACACACAGCCACGGGCGTGAAGCTCCAGCAGCCTGGCGCGACATCAACAAGCGGACCAATCATGTTTGGGAGTTGGCAAGTGTCTCAGCAAGGAATCGTGAGAAAAAAATCCACGCTGTCCTTTAGTTGACACTTGTCTCGGCAATGTCAATGCATTATGGTTAAATGAGCACTACTTTGTGTTTCTTTGAATGGACTTATTCATTGCATTAGAAATTCCCGTAACTTTTCCCCCACCTACCACTATATAACTTGTGTACCTTGCCACGAAGTGACGGGATTTTGATTCATAAGTCTTACAGCATGGTACCATGCGTCAGAGATCAGTTCCAGAAGAACTACATTCTGATATCACTTCAAGAGGAATGTATCTATAATCAGGGCATACTCTTTACGTGTCCTTCAAAGAAAAGTTAATCACATGCCAATCACACAGTGATGTATAATTACAATTATATGAAAGACCACATTGACAGTTTGTGCAGTTGTGAGTGATTGGGCGGAGACCATCAACTTTCTGCAATGGAGAGTCCCCAGTTTAATCCTGTGCGGTTGCCCAGAATTTGTGCCCAACGTCTCAACAGTGCTGGCTCAATGCTCTTGTGATACCATCCTAACCTCCTAAGCCAGTTGGCTACCTACCCCATCACTTTCTCCAGGACACGGGTCATTTGACTTTCTATATTTCAACACTATTCTTGACATCAACTCATATTTCCAAATTACGATGAAAGCCAGCAGTGCACGCACAGTGCCGATCAATGCGATGAAGGCTTCCTGGCCTCGGTGCAGTGGCACCCAGTCGCCGGAGTGGCGAGATGTTAACTACCTCGCCTAGTACACAGGTCATGGGTTAGATCCCAACCCTGACGCCTGTATATTTGGAGTTTGCATGGTTACCCCATGGTTGCGTGGATTTTTATCCGGGTCCTCCGGTTTTTCCCTCCACATTTAGAAACGTGCGTTTAGAGTATTTGGCGGCTAGAACTTCCCACACGAAAAGCCACTTTGTTGAGGTATCATTGGTGGCTAGGTCGCCTCTGAAGACGCGCTATACAGCTCAGTGGGCCTTACCTGGAAAAATAAAATGAGTTTAGTTTAGAATCAACAGCAGCAGGAGGAATTGGTCCCCCGTGAGCGCCGTCCGATCTGTAGGCATGGCGGCGCGCGACGCTCGGTCACAGTGCGGAGCCGTACCCGGTTCGCCATTTTGGCGCTGCCTGCCGTCTTGCCATCCAGTTTGCGGTGTTTGCCCGAGGACTGGGAGGCAGCGGCGCCTCCGGCTGGATTCCCTTTCTTGCTCGACTTGCCGGCCTCGCTCACAGGTCGACACGCGGCTCGACGTGCTGCTCTCGCTGTTGCGCCGCTTGCGCTCAGACGCAGCCGTCGACTTGGAGAGCGGCGACGCTGGCGGGGCGACCTTCTTCTTATTATCCACCGTGTGCTTGCCCGACCTGGGCGGGAGTGGGGGGGGGTAGCATGGAAGGGACGCGAGCACATGTCACCAACGAGATGGCATTTGTAATTGCCATGTTGCACACCTCAAATTGGTAATTTGTATGTAAATTGCAGGAGACACGGTGAATTGGTAATCTGAATGTACATTACAAATAATCCGAGTAATCTATGATTTCAGTGCCCATTTCTGCCTATTTTTGCCTGGGGGCTGCTTGCAGGGCCCTTTGCGAGTGCTTTGCTTCGAGGTGCATTGCTCTTAAAGTTCAGCTTTTATGGTTTTACGTGATCCAACGAGATCTATGCCAACAAGCTCATTCCTCCTTTGAGCTGCTTGACATCTGAACTGTGAGACACAGCCTCGCGCAAAGGCAGGCGAACGGGTCGGCAGCGCAGTCACGCGCGTGTTCCCGCACGCCACTCGCAAGCGTCCACGTAACGGCGCTGTGGCCGGGCAGGGACTGAACGACGAACCGGCATGATTAAAGGCTCCATTCGTCTAGTTCGGGTTTAATGTCATGTGGCAAGTGTCACTTTGCTCTGGTTTAACACATGCTCCTTGGAGCCACGCCATGCGTGGAGGAGACCTTTCCCATTTCATTAAGGTACTCGTGAAAATAAATTACCATAATCCCAGTTAACCGGTTCTGCCTGACTCACTTTTATGAGTGGCGCAGTGTTTAGATGGATAAATCCTGAGCGCTCAGCTAATCAGTGCACTGAACAAGTGAGGTTATTTACTGGTTTCACAAACAGAAACCTAACAACCTAACACTTTGGAAAATACTAAATGCAGATGCACTCATGCATTAGCTACCAAGGAAGATTTTTTTTCCAAATTGCCAAGAACATTTTGGAAAAAATAAATGATTGATTTTATTTTGGTTTTATATAGCTTCTGTATAAGGCTGATATATATGGATATTGAAATGTTCCTTTTGTTGTTTTACGTGTGTGTCCGGTTGTGTTTGGATTTATTTTTTATTGATTGTATTGAGGTATAATCAAATGTTCCAGACTTAAAATGGTAATGAATTTTAGAAAAATGTTGCTAGAGAGTATAAAACAGATATAAAAATGGCATTTTTAGTTGGCGACAACAGAATTAACCATGACTAAATAGTCAGAAAAGAACAGTCGCACCAGTCATGTGACCTCCTATGACAGCATCTTCAAAGGATGCTCTTGCTGACATTGCAGTGTTGTGGGTAATGTTCGACTGAATTTTACATCAGTAAATAACGAACAATTATTACGTGCCCCATTTTCCTCTGATTGAATACTTGCCAAACACACACACTCTCTCCATTTAGGTTGATCAATAAGTGAAAACTGCTGCAAGGCATCACTTGGTAGTTTAATAGACAGCGATAAGTACATACAGTAAATCTAAGTAAATCGCTATTTTAACATTTGTGTAAAACATACACGAATATATCAACTTTCAGAAGAGAACCCGGCAAACCAAACGGCAGAAATCGGCACAGACTCCCAATGGCATTTATTATCAAGCCATGTGGTCAAACGCCACCTAAAGAATAAAATAAATTGAGGCATTTTTAAAACTACGCAGTGACGCGTCTGTGGAGGGGGGGGGGGGCGAATAACAGTGACCCGACCATTGTGTGTTGACACGTGTAAATGTTGAACTTCTTTCGAACCGTACGTAGCCAACCGTGCCAATCGGTAGGTGCGGGGCGGGGGGGGGAGGACAACAAGCAGTTTAGTTAGTCCGCTGACACGACGAAGCCTTCCGCCGTCTTGTCGGCGGAGGAGCCGCACGCGCACCGGGCCGACCCTTCCTTCAGCTTCGTCGTGTTTGCAGAGGCTCTGGCGGGACCCGCCAGCAGCCTTGGCCTGACGCCCGCCTCTACGGGACCCGGGCTACGCGGCGGCAGCAGCAGCAGCAGCTGCGGACTTGCTCTTGGGAGCCCCGTTGAGTGCACCGTGTGTTTGCACGTTCGACTTACTCCTTGTTGACAGGGGGCTTGTAGCTGGAATGAGATGGGGTCTCTGTCTTGACCTTGATCTTTTTGCGATCGCTGCGAGTGCAAGTGAGAGCGACAGAGAGGCAAAGGGCGAGAAGTTAGGATGGGGGAGGGGTGCGATGCGGTCACTGGGTAATGTCGGTACGACGACGCCAGGCTCTGCTGCCCATCAGTCACAGCGGAACACTACGATGTTAAGGGCTGTCACTCGCGAGGAATGAGCGTGCTGCCAACAGAGAGAGTGCTAAGGCGTATGCTAAATTCAGAAGTTAAATAAAGTAAATTTATTTATGTAGTGTTCAGAAAACTAGGTGGTGGTTTGTTGGCAAAATCACTCTGCAATTCTTCAACAGCCCATAAGATGCTGCTCTCTACCCTTGTGAACAAATAATACACCACTGACTGCTGACTCATGTCCAATGCTATCTTTTTACTTAAAGCAAATACAACTTGTGTACACAAAACTCTCAATAGGGCCAAGTGGGCCAGTGAATGGCAGTACAATAAATACGCCCAATGACTTATTTGTATAGATTTGAGTGTAAACTTTTTTCGATGGTTTACCCAGTTTAATTGGACATGCGAAACAAACAAATTTGCACCCATCTCAGTCCTCAAAAAGTGTCAACGAGGCTTCAATAAATAAATAATTTTCCACTCTTGACTCAAATTCTAACGTCCGATTACTGCATGCAAAACAATGTTGTTTTACCGGAGAATTTAAAGTCCGTTAAATAAATAAAAGGTTTTAATTACATTTAAAGGATTCTGCATTTAAATCTTTACAAGGGCTTCTCTCACCTCCCCTTCTAGCACCTCTGTAAACCTCTGAAGAGGACAGATGCAGGTGCTGCTGAGCATTACCGGGGGGGGGGGGGGGGCAATGGGGATGTGCGATGGGAAAGCCGTGGTGCAGTGACTGTACCATGCCCCGCACAGCAGCTGCAACAACTCACTCTTTGGTGGCGGCTGCCTTGTGCGCAGAGTGTGGCGTAGCGTCCTTCTCCACCTTCCCCCTCTTCCTCTCGCTGTGAATGTCCTCGCTGTCGCCCTGGTGAACCACACGGGTAAACACTTACAGCCGTACCCTTACCAAACCACTGGGAAACACATCGTTACCGAACCGAATATGAGCACTCCTTACCACGAACGCTTACCCAACCCCACACGCTGCACGCATTTACCGCAGACCCTTGCCAAACAGCACAAGCTCAGTCTAACTAAACCAGCGGTCGGCAACAATAACAAATTCGGTAATAAAACTCAACATTTCAAGAGCCGCAATGCATGTGAATATGTGACAGTCCTTAAATAAATAAGGTCACAAAGCAGTCCTTAAAGCGCCGCATGCGGCTCTTGAGCCGTAGGTTTCCGACCCCTGAACTAAACCACAGAGGCATTCTTACCAGAATCTCCCTAAACCACTGAGCGCACTTCACCACATGCCCTTGGTGAACAACATGGCACACTTTTATCATCGCCGACATAGATAAAAGCACTATCTGTACATCGCTTCAAAACAGATATGCATTGCTGCAATACTGTACAGGATTAGTCATGATACAAAGTTTGGACAGAGTGTTCTATTTATTTCACACTCCATTTTCATTTCAAACTGACAGTAGGGCAAGAGTGATGGGTTACCTCTGGGTGTCATTTTAGCATTTTATAAATAGCACACCGACTGGCTCACATTTCACGCCGTCCACTGCATAGTGTGTCACCTCGTGGAAGTTTGACACACCCATGATAGATAACGAACAACGTGCGATTGCTAAACGCTACATTTGCCCACTAAAAAAAATACTGCTTATTTCGTATTCATTAGTATGTCACATGCTGTTGGTTTCCTCGCTTGGACACAACTCTCCCTAAGCCCAGCTGCATTAAATGTGCAATGCATTTGCAAATTAGGGGGGGAGGGGGGGAAATCACTTTTTTTTTAAACCATCACAACACATACTCCTAATTCGTTCACTCATTTCAGATCAATGCGAACCTATTGGAGTTGACATGGCAAATATAAATAAATAAACGCCACAGCCAATGAGTTGGTCAGAAGGTTGCGCCACATTGCGAGGGGCTGGGTGCAGGAATGTTGGCACACACCGGTCGGCCATGTCTCCCGAGGGTCAACCACGAGTAGCCACAGAGCTCACATTCCTCACTGGCTGGCAGCCCTCACTGCATCTACACCACCCCGCTCACACTCACCACTGCCGCATCCAATGCCTTTGCACCAAGGTGTAGTGTTTGCCGGCAATAACCCAAGCAGTACTCTTTATTTGTGTGTGTGCCTGTGTGTCTTGTTCTCTCGACCACAGTCGTGAAAAATAACACGGAAAGTAGAGATGGATGACACAAAAAGTAGGGATCAATGTTTTTATGTGTGTATGCGTGTAATGAGTTTGTGTCACTCATGGCGCTGCTGTTCACTGCCATGATAAAAAAATGTGTTGTAAAAAATAATCAATTAAATTCGCCATATCGCTGTGGGGGAGGAGAGTGGATGTTGTGAATCATTTCTTTCCATGTGGAAGCAGCCACTAACATAAACAATACTCACAGGCTTGTACCACGCCTGAGCTTTTCAAACATTTCCTTGGCACACTGTGCACATGGATTGGTAATATTCAAGTGAGCCAGCTATCAACTAAGCATGACTGCTGATGAGACAGAGTTGCAACTGCTAGTATTGAATTAAAATTGCTGAAATTATGCACCCCCAAAAGTCCATGTGGCTGACAGTAATTGTAAAGAAAGACTTTGGAGGGACCGATGTGCGGGCGGTGTATTATCTGCTTATTTATTTTGTTAAGAGATATTTGAAGTGCACCCTTGCAAAAGTCCAAAGTAAAGCGGTGGCCAACAAATGAAAGAAATGACTCGATTCTTCCCACGAGAACTAAGCAGAAATCCACGACAATCGTCCACAATGAGCACGTAGAAGTCCTGGACTTGTCTCATCTGAATGCTCGGGTGCAGTGGCGCCTTGCTTGTGACCCCATATCGACGGTGCAAGTGAAAGCGTCGGGTAAGCTCCGTTTGTCGTCCAAGATCGATAACGCAGATAATGCATCTATGCAATGAGTTCATGTTCATGGTGGTGCCTAAGTAGTTTTTATAATTTCTCTCCAGCACCCCGCATTCATTGTACACACCGATGGGAAATTGTGTGCACCGGCAGTGCACGGCTGCGGGCCGAGACAAAACGCCGGATCTGTCTGCTGGAAATGTTAATGCGAAGGGTGGCCCCTTAATTGCACTGACAAACATGGCCAGGGGTCTTTAACAACCAACAGGCGAGTTAATCAATTAACATCACGGGCTGGAGGATTTAGGTACATGCGCACCCATGTAATGGAACATCGAACTCATGTTTAATTCATTTGTTAATTTTTAACCCGGCAGCAAAATGTTTTGCGTACAAACAAGGCAATGCAAAAGGCACCAGGTTTTATGTTGACAATATTACGCATCATTGCAATTATTGGTTTAACATTAAATTCAACGTAATTATTATCAATAATTAGCACAGTAGGTTACGGAGCATTATAATGAATACGGCGTGGGTGTATTTATTTACATATGAAGGTGAATGACAATGTAATCCGCACTGCTCTAAAAAGTACAGGCTGCACGACGAGCATGTACATAGTAATTATGGAACAGCCCATTTACAACTACACCATGATGTATAATGTTAACAATATTACTTTGCTGTATTGTCAACCAAGTGAACAGAATCCAAATTGTGTCAGCAAACCAAATGGCACTCCGGTAAACCCATCATATTGCCACGCTTAGTTATTGCGACAGTTCTGACATGGCCAGAATCACCAGCTTCTCGGGCCACGCACCACCGTCTGCGCTGTTTGTGCCGATTGTGCCCACGTGCGCTCCGCTTACCTGCCGCTTGCGTTTGGATTTCTCTCCTAACGCTGTGGTTGGAGGCGGTGGTGATCTTTCTCTGGATGTGCTCTGCTGCCGGTGAGAGCCCGCCCTCTCGGACACCGACGGTGGCTGCTGCTGCTGTCCCTGGCCTCCGCCGCCCCGAGTCTCGCCGCGGCCCGGCACGCGGGCAAGAAGGCTCAGGTCGATCTTCACCACGAGCGATCGCACCTCGTCGTAGTCGTGGATGGGCGACAGCAGCTCACCGCCCGCCACGTGCAGCGGCGACAGTATCTGCTCCTTGCGGCTCAGCAGCGGCGGCTGCGGCGCGGGCGGCGCGGGCGGCGCCGAGCCGGGAGCGCCCTCGTCAGAGTGCTGCGGCGAGTCGCAGGGCGCGTCCGAGCCGGACGACTTGGCGGCGCCGGACGGAGCCGGCGAGTCCGCTTTGCCCGCCGGGCTCTCGTCCGGCTCCGACTCAGAGTCGGACGAAGGTGACGACGAGGACGAGGAGGTGTCCGAGTACACCTTCTCGCGGCCCTTGCGCATCGACTTGCCTGGCACACGCTGCTTCTTGGCCTCGGCCGTGCACTGTGGTGCCGGCTGCGTCTCCTTCTTTACGGCAGGCTTCCGGCCGGTGCCGCCTTTGGGCTTGCTCTTTGGCTGCTCGTGGTTGGTGCCCGACAGAGCGCCCGTACCTGCCTTGTGCTTCTGCGAACTCTCTTGTGCTACTGTGAACTCTGACTTGGGACAGTTTTCCACATCAGGGCTAGCTGGCTTCTCTATCCTGCGTGGCTGCTTGCGGCCAACACTCCTGCGTTGTGGCTGCTGCTGTTGCTGCTGCTGCACTGAGACTTCCGGTTGGGCCGGTGACTTGTGGACACCAAACGCGTACTCCGGCTTGGGCCACTCAGGATCCTCTGGGCTCAACGGCTTCTCGGTCCGCTTGGGCTGCTTCCTGCCGACGCTACGCCGCACTGCAGCCACGCCGCTGCCTCCACCGCCGCCACTACTCTCCACCACCGTGGGCGACGCCTTCGGGGGCTCGTACCCATAGTCCGGCTCTTCGGGGCTTGGCGCCGGCTTCTCCAGCTTTTTGGGTTGCTTGCGGCCGATGCTGCGACGCTGAGACAAAACGTCGGGCTGCGCCGGCGACTTCTGCCGCCCACCGCCGCTCTTGCTGTCCGCATGCCGCTGCCCGCTGCGACCCTTGCCCCGCTCTCGCGCGGGGCTCCGCAGCTTCTCCTTGGCGTCGGCCTGACTGGCAGCGACACTCGGCCGCTCCTTGTCCTGGGCCCCGCCGCTTCCACCGCCGCCTCCACCAACACCGCTGCCGCCAGCGCCACCGCCACCATCGCCGCCGCGCGGGTACTCGTGCCCTTGCACCTTTGCGTTTCCCGTGTCAGCCTGCGGAGTTGCCGACTTGTTGGTGTTCAGGTTCACCTTGGGCAGCCAGTTGTCCAGCTTCCACTTGTTGGTGGGTGGTGGCTCGGGCTGCAAGCGTAAAGAAAGTGAGCAAATAGCGATGCGTCGGTAAACTTGGAAGTAGAGCCTACATCACGTTATTCATAAAGTGAGAATGTCACCCCATCTGTGTGGTGGGAGTTAAGAGTGTTATCCCCTAACATGCGTGGGTATTCACCCAGCACTTCAGTTTCATCCCACCCAAAAATAACCTCAAATAAAGGAACTAGGCAAGCAACCCAATCAATGTCGGCTTGAAAAACTACCTTGAGGCTCCGAGAGAATTTCTCTGGTAATTCAACATTAAAAATTAAAAATAGGGGATCCTTGACAATACATATATTACAATAAAAAGTTAAACTTTAATTAAGACAAACCAATGCGCAGTGCAAGATTCCTATTCTGTATATAGTGTCCCGTTCAGTTGTCATGTGGAAAGGCTGGCCTGCACCACCGGCTCAGGACAGTGTTATCCCCATGCCCATTTGAGCAGGGCAGCATTGACTCTTGACTCTATGTACTCAAGTCTCCAAAGTCTTTGATAAGGAAAGAGCAGAATACAGTAAATACACACAACTGTATCAGTTATTGACCGAGTAGGAATGCACTGTCCTAAAGAGATTGACGGGCACATTGTGGCTGAACTTATTGTGGATGTACTGCTTACTGGGGGATGTGCAAGTGTCTAATGCTATGGGGTCATGTGTTCTGGCCTTGTTGTTGAATGGCCTTAGCCGTTGATACACAGCAAGATGCTAGGGCGCTGCCTTTGAAGACACTGATTGACCACAACCCATAGCACTCAGCCGCACGGGCACACAATAATACATTTTTAAAAGCATAACTTGTAGACCTTTGTCAATCCACTGCTAGATGAAGACCTCCCCATGTAGTGTCAGTCATGGGGGTTGTTTGACCATACTTTGCTAGGATTGTCACTGCACGTTGGTGAAGGTGGATGGGGACCCAAGACCGATTCAGATATCACTCGCCACTCATGTTCGTTTTGGCCAAGAATCAAACTCGGGTGGCGAGGTTAATCGTGGAGTCCACTAAGCTCTGGGGCACAGCTCCCACAACAACAACAATAATAATGTACTTTACTCAAGAAAGCCTCACTGAGCGTTAACACTTTTCAGAAGGGTCCTGAATTGGGCTCTTTGACCAATTTCATGAGTATTTGGCATGCGTGAGAAACCAAAAATAACTTGGATAAATCTCACAAATGCAACAGGGTAAAGCTCAAATCTCAGCACAGATCGATTTAATAACCCATCGTTGTAATGCTTCCTCCTGGCCATGTTTGCAGCACAAGCCTACAACACCTGGAGTTTACAAAGCAGTCTCCCATTCAAGTAATAGCCGGGCTGGACCCATGGCTAACGCAGACGAGTGAGCGGCTCACCTGGGGAGAGGCGGCGTTCACGGACTGGTTTTGGGCCTCGCTGTCGCTGGAGCTCGTCTCGCTCTCAGAGTCCGACTCAGAACTGCTCTCCGACTCGCTGGAGGAGCCCGACTCGGCGCTGGAGCGAGGGGCATCCCCGCTCTCTGCCACCGGCACGCTGCACACACCGAGGACACACAGGAGCAACACCGACAATGAAATGAACTAATAACTACACGTCTTAAAGCTGCCGGTTCGGTAAAATTACACAAATGTTAACAGATTAACGGGTATGTTAAAAATAAGACTGTTTCAGCAGACTGACCTTCTTCAGTGACCGCAAAGAAAAGAAACAGTTTTTTTTATTTCACATCCTGTGTATATTTATATCGATGTATACAGACCAACAGCTCCTGCATAGCCTAGAGGGGTTGCTGGGGCAAGTGGCAGTGAGCCAGTATCTATTCAGGCTGGAACAGTACATGAGGTGGTGGTCTCCCCAGTGCTGATGTTTATACACTGCACCAGGTACTCATTTAAGACGGTGTTAAATGAAAGGAGGCCCTTGACCAGTTCAGATATTTGCTACTACATTAGCTGCAGCTAATTGCTACGCTGCAGTACCATCCTCCACCCCATGCATATATAGACAATACAATCAAGGCATTTAACATCGTGAAACCTAACATTAGGATGGAGATACATCTCTGAATTGGGCTCTTTGACCAATTTCATGAGTATTTGGCATGTGTTAGAAACCAAAAAGAACTTGGATAAATCTTACAAATGCAACAGGGTAAAGCTCAGCACAGATCGATTCCATAACCCATCTCTATCCAGGGACGAATATGTGGCAGAACACCGAGCCAGCATTAATGAGATGCCGAGTTTGAATCTGAAAGGCCAATGATGATGAAACCAGATCAAGGTCATCGCGCCGGGGGCTGTGGCACGAGCGTTCACGTCATGGCCCAGTCAGATTCATTGAACCGGCGATCCGGCTGAACACACGACTATGCCATCACGTGCCTGATAATGAAGAAACTAATGACCGTGGTGGCAGGACACCAGGAGAATAAACAATCTTGTTGTTTCTCAGCCAAGTTATCATCGGCTGTACACAAACGCAGGCACCTGTTGTAAATTTGATTTTCCACATTATTTGGTCTGGACCAGCCATGAGAATGAAGTTTTATCACCCACCAGCGGTAAAACATTTCTATACAAAGCATGACTATCGTGAAAAAATAAACTGTACGCATCAATAACACTCGACCTCTCTGGTGTCTCATTGTGTTGTGAAGGGACATTGCCAGGAACGTCACCAATTATACAACTTTTATTTTTATGGCCGTGTTAAATATTACAGCTTCCTTCCGAGGACGGGCTAACAAGCTAGTTGACAAATGTGTTGAGTTCTGTTGTTATTTGTCCTTATGCGCCACTGCCTTCGTAGTATAAAAACAAACATTGTTTCATGTACAAAGCATTATGGTTCACCGTCCACTGTTTGGCCTGAGCTACATAATGAAGCGGCGGGAAATGATATCTATTGGCATCATCTTCTGGGGCCATTCATTGCGATGATGTGATTCTCGAGTTATGAAATGGTCATTCTTAGCTGTATAACATTATTCAAATTGAATTATAAGGATATTAATTATTAATGGCGGTAAAGTAAAATACAATGGTTCATATAAATAGAACTACTGCCAATTATTAATTCAGGGAAGAGTCACAATATGTTCTAAGGAGTGTTCTGAATTGGGATGTTTGGCCATTTTATTTGTAAGGAGTTTGATTGCATATAGGAATGGCCAGATTACCCAACGAAAACCCATGAACGAGGGAATAACGCTTTAAAAAAGGTCCGTACGGTCAGGTTCAAGAAAATATTTGCTGTCCTGAGATTTAGCCACCTCGGAACCCTGAGCAGGTTGTTTATAGTTCACAAATCCATGTGATGCGACAACACCAATGGTGGACTAGAGGGAAGTGTGCCATCACAGACAGAGAACACCGAAACATGTTATTGTGAGTGTACACACCTGACAGGAATGATGGCCTTGTTCAGGACAGACTTATCCGCAAACTGGGGAAACACATTGCGTGCATTCATGAGGCATGACAGGACAGTCTCGCTGCATGGAAAATAACACACTACTGCATCATTTGCTTAATTGGCTCCAATGAGACACTAGCAGCCCCAGCGTTAAGACTGCCAGCAAGAGTGTGATCCACTACAGGTTTTTAAAATTCCTTGCCCAGGGGGCTAACAGATGTAATTGAATGCACAGGTACAAGACCCGTCATCACTTCCCTTTATTGGCCACACGTGGTGCAGGGATTTTAAAGACCTGCCATAGATCACTCCATTGCCATATAAACGAAGTCTGGAGCCGACGCTGGTTAAAATGTAAATTGTTAATGTATGTAAATGGATTCATTGCAATACAAGCCATTTATAATTAACCTAATAATTATTATTCATGTTCTCAGTCACTTTTAACTGTGATGCACTGCAGACAGTACACACATTACCGACATGGAGTAAATGTGTTAAGCTGTGAATTATTACATGGCAAAATGGTGTGACTGTAACAGCGGATTCTAATTAATGTCATCTAGAAAGAACCACAAACAATTAAAACGGAGATCTCAATGCGTAGCTTACCAGTTCAACATCGCTCTCGTCACTGCTCAATTTCAGGTCATCTTCCAGCATCCTAGACGACAAAGCATTGTGGACACACGTGGTGAGTGAGGTTGTGAAGGCCATGGAACTTGCAGTTTTCAAATTGCTTTGCTTTGTGTGGAAGTGAGGTTGGAATTGTTTGAAGGACCCTAGCCTTCTCCCAGTCGTTCCCAGCACTTCCCAGCCTGCTTCAGCAAATGCATGCTGCCCCCCCCCCCATTAAAATCACTTACCACAACATTTTACATTCCTCAACCACTCGAATGGCCCATCATTTTGCCAGATTTATATAGCCTTTTGTAACCGTTCCCGGCTTCCATAGCCCGCAAGTGTCTCTCTAGTCTTTCCTAGGAATTCTAAGACCTCTCAATTCTTTCCCATCCTTCACAATGCCTTCCCATGCTTTTCGCAACCTTCCATAACTTTCTGTTGCGTTTACTAGTCTATCCCGGGCATTTGTTGTGATTTTAGGAAATTGTCATCCTTTATTAGCGATGGCAAGACATTCATATTTTAGTAAGCTATTTTTGCTAAATTCTGTGGCCCACCACACAAGTAGCGTTTACAGGGTCTAAATATTTACCTTTCCTGCTCAAGTATTCACAGATGCACAAAACAACGATGCAAAGACTGCACTTAACAGTGAACTCCTTTGCTACAAACCCCTGGCGCTATCACCCTCGTGTAACCTCACCGAGACGCAAGAACATAGCGCGATTAACGCATTAAATAATCAATATTCTCATCTCGTCAATCGTTATGCGTTCTTCTGCGGAACATAAAGCATTGACATTGAAACAGCCCTATTGTGCAGCACCAGCATCTTGCCCGATTGTATCAAATCAGAAACGGAGATTGTCATCTTACACTGCTGCCAATAAAGTTTAACAGAGCCCTTTGGGCACATACACATGTTAACGCCTTCATTTATGTAAAACCTGCATCAAACAGCTACTGAATAAGAGGTGTCGGCCTTGTTGCTGACATGTCATACCAGAGTCGTTTTAAACACGAAAAAAAACGTAACAAAAGTAAATACTTACGAATTATCCGCCAAGGTGTTTGTGGCGCTCTTTGAAGAGGCATCACCGCGCTCTGACAAGGGCGAGGTAGAAAAGGACAAAGTTCAGTTCACTACGCGAGCTTTATCCAATGCGGTCGAAGGCAGTATCCACGGGTTTAAAGCAGTCAAGGTCCAGCCTTCACTGTTACTAGCTCTGTCATGGCCAACGCTCGCACACCAGCCAACGTGTAATGATCTCCGAGAGCAAAACGCGATAGGCGACGCTTTTCACCCAAGGTCTGCGATTAACGCAGACAATTGTATGGAGGCAAGACATCGCATTGTACAATCCACAGTCTCTTTGTGCAGAGAGAGCTGTTAAAACTTTATAAATTGCTATTGACATTGGCAAAAGCCAAAGTCCATTAAGAGGTTTTAAAAAAACAAATCTTTGCTGGCACGCGTGATTTCTGCACGGATGGCAGACACGTTATCAGTGCGCTTTCACAACGCACGCGGTTCCCTTTCAAGTCCCGCACGAGCACGATACACCTGTGTGGGGCACATTGATGCAGGTGGCGCCAACAAGGTGGCATGCACCTACACTCTTTACGACCTTTCTAGATATAAATTACAGTACACAAGCAGAAACACACGACAAAAAGGGGACCACTTAAAACTTACTTGTCCCTGGAAACGACGTGTTCACATGCTGGGAGTCCTATAAAGCATGAATACAACGTCCATGAGTAAAATTATGTCGTATTAAAGGCACAGACACAATTCATCAAGCAATTAAAGCAAATGTTCACTTGAGTAGAATGAAATCCTACCTTCACTCATGGCATACCATACCAAGAGCTACAATACAAAGTCCACTGCTGTTAATTTTCCAATGCATAATTTAAAAGGTACTTTATTTAAGGCTCAGAGAAAAAAAAAACGAATTTTCTGCTGAATTATTTAGACATGTGCTTGTACCGGCTGTGTTCAATGCAAGCATAAAGGTCAAAGCCTTCCTTGTGGAAATCTACGTAGATGTGGTTTTGCGCGAGACAGTGCGTGGCCGTATTTACGTCAACAAGTGGCTTCGGCAGCCCAAGTGTGTGTGTGTGGTGCGTTAACGCGCCTTTCCAGGAAATGGGAACTTGGATGGTTTGGCGGTAACTGGGGTCTGTATTGCTGTCAGAGGGGAGGGCCAGGGATAGGCCATTTCCTGTGAAAAAAAACACACACAACATGTCTTACACTCACGAGCCAATGGGCTTAGCGCTGTCATGTTATCTTCATACTGTCCTAAAGAGGGCACTGTGCACATAGCCTCCCACTAAAGAAGTGACGTCATGGAATTGTGTTTTACTGCAACTTAAAGGGAGGGCACTTGCATCTATTTCACCGCTAACAGCTGCATCACCCCACCCCCAACCATGTGGCAACCAGCGCGCCTTGGGGCACTCGGGATTTACAGCGTTCATTTTATTTTGCTTCGCCGTTGCCGCCGCTTGTGTGTTTTGCACAAGAACAAGACGTGGTGCGCCAGACGCCAGGGTTACAGACAGTGAGTGCAGCTGCACCCACCCTCAGAATCTCCTCCACGCAGTTGCCATCATTGTTGTTGCCAGCCTGGGGCAGACGGGGGAGAGAGAGAGAGAAGAAGCAGGTCACGGGTTTGTGGCACGGCTCTGCAATCACTCAACGCGCTCGCCTCTCACTCGTTAAAATGCGGCACGCCGACAGACTCATCTCTGCACAAAGCGTACCAGCAGCGGTACACGTGCACTGTACAAAAGACGACGGTGTGCCACGCACACAGAGGTCACCGCGCCGCATGCCAAGTGGGAATTTAGCCTGCGACTTCCGACGGCGATCTGAAGTGGGAGAAATACGCAACTGCAAGTTGCTCGTTTTCACTACTTTTATGGACACTGGCAAAGGTGGACGATGGAACTTGCCCAGGGATTCCAATGCTTGCCTCTAAATTAAACCAGTAACACTGCAACAAGACCATATTGCGCTCGCCGTTACATCACTCACGTTATACATCATACATGCTCACAAATATAATCTATTCATTTGTGAGGGTGTGCTGGCTTGCATTCCTTACATTCAGTTTACAAATGATTAAACACACACTTCTGCACAACCCCCAGATCCTAAACCCCTCCTTGTCCTAACATCACTTCGAGTAATGCTACTAATTAACACATTTCCTTTAATTTCAGCACAGTAGGCCAATACACGGTGTGTCTTATTATCGGCTCTGCCCTCAGTTCCCCTTACCATTAGCCCTTTGGTTGTTTAGGATGCCCATAGACCAGGATAGCATCTTCATATAGTATTCCTTGGTGACCTGCAATCTGGCCTACGGTTCATTAACTGTTGGCAATAATCCCAAAACCAGAGTAGAAGCAAGCGGTTGCTATAAAATAAATAAAAACAGGCGTCGTGCAAGCATGTAAGGGGGGGGGGTCTTCAGTTCATGCGAGACAAAAGCACATGCAGTCCAGCTTCTGCAGTAAGAGCGAGCCATCGACTTTAATTAGGATTCTTAAAACTGTGGTGCACTCGTGCAAGCCTTCACTGCTGGTGTTCCCGAACGCAAATCCCCCCATCATCCTTCCAACGGGAGGCAACGCTGCTGCTGTTGTTTGTGGGATTTAAAGTTGAATTCCTGTCTGAAAAGATGCATGACCTCTTTTAAGGGTAGGCCAATGTGGAGGAAATTGTCAAGTAGCCGGAGTAAAGAAAAATGTGGATATGCTGGTGACCAAATATAAAACAAATCTCTTGAAATACTTTATACCTTGGCATATTTTTGCCGAACATCACTTTGGAAGATGCTCATTTGCAAAAAAAAATACCGATCAATGTTTGGCTCATAAACGTTCCAGGCGCAGCCTTCAACACTCACAGGCAAGGCATTAGATTCAAGTTGTGTGTGCAGGCACCTTTTTAGCACGGCACAAGCACGTCCGATTTGAAAATGCAACGTCCACTATCAAAACGTGTCTTGTTGTGATGAAAACAATCTTACCAACAAAACATGGGGTAACATTGTTTATCTACTTCAGGTACTTTAATGGATTCACCACGATAACTTAATTTTGAGATCGTGTGCACACTGAGCTACACACATGAGAAGTGCAAAAGGTAAGTAAGTAGTGGATATGGTTAAACATGTTTAAACATAAACATATGTTTCTGCAAACTGCCCTGTGTGCCAATCGTTTCCAGCATCATAATAACGGTGTGAGCGAGTGCACACGCGTGCCACGCCTTGTCGAGACGTGCCCAGGCTTTTCCTGAAATTTTCCAGCAGATTTCAGTGCACTGCGAATCGTGCATTATATAGAAACAATGGAATGTAAATACTCCACCTCCCACCCCCACCTCACTGTCAATTCAGGATTGAGAATAATCACATCAAGGAAGCCCTGCCAATTTAACCCGATTCATCACGAAGCGTCTCTTGGAGTGGCCTCAAACCTGGCATGTGGTGGCAGAACTGAAAATCCTGAAAATGGTAAACAAGAGCATCAAACTGCGGCTTCGACCAAACTAAAAATGCCACCTATATCCCGGAATAGTTGTTGCCTACCTCTCTTGGGCACAGTGGCTCTAAGTGTGTCAAAGGGGACCACACTTTAAAAGCGTACCAACCAGGCCAAAACCTGAGCAGAAGCAGCAACGAGGAAAACAAGCTGTGTGCGCGTGTCATGAAAAAAGCGCGTGTCATGAAAAAAGCGCGTGTCATGAAAAAAGCGCGTGTCATGAAAAAAGCGCGTGTCATGAAAAAAGCACGCACCAGGTTTTCAGGACCGCACTAATAATGCAAAATAATGCACCGTCCTTTGTCAATCCACGAGCGGATGTAAACCCTGTTATGCCATTTGTTGGGGGTTTGTTTGACCATTCTACACCGTGCTGGTTGGTGCAGATTGGCGAAGGGTTTTGGGAGGGAAAATCAAGGACCAGTAGAGATATCATTCCCTACTGATGTTGGCCATGGTTGGGAAACGATGTTGGCCATGGTTGCGTTACATACTGTGTCACACCCCCCCCCCATCCTCATAGTAAACTCGATTTTAAAAATTATACTTCAAATAACACTAAAATAAATGGTTCATAAAAGAAACGTGTAAATATGAAGATAACATCTATTTGAATACAGTGGTGATTGAGGACAATCCAAATGGATCAAGGATAAGCATATGCAATTTGATCTAAATAACTCTATTTTTTAGGCTGGGTTTAGAATAAATGGGAAAGTAGATATCTACGTGTATAAAATGAGACCGGAAAGCATTGGTGTCCGAACTGCGCCAAAATTATGAATGAAATTTTCAAGGATGGAATCAATATCTTGGAATGTGATAATGTCCATGCAATTCAGTCAAGACCATTTGCTCTTGACTCGAGAGCCACGGCTAAGCTGGCAGGTATTTATTCCTTCCGCCGCAGCTCATTTCCGCAACATTCAAGGCAAATTCAACCATGGAAATTGCCAGAAGGGTCGTAGCATTAGGGATTGTGGTCATACGTATCAATCAAATGGAGTTCATGATGGCCTACACACACCCACGGCCGTACATGCACACATTGTATTGTAGCCTACACACACTCATGATCCTCTTGCAGGGTAGTCTACAGCAGCCCAATCCTCACATCGATCCACTTTCTCCCCTTTGCGTCTAGCCTCAATTATAAGATTGTTGCCACCTATCTGTTATTAAGATCCTATCACGGTCTTGCTCGTGTGTTCCCACCCACCACCTCATCGCTCCCTACTCCCTCACATGTAGACTTTGCCCCAGCAACCAAGGCCTCTTTGCAAAACTCCCCCAGTCAGATTGTGCCCAGTGGGTGGTTGCTCTTTCTCCTCCGTCACCTCAGCCATCTGGATCTTTGTCAACTCCCTCCTCTTGAAAGCCATATATATACATTTTATTTAGGATATAACCAGGTAACAGCCTAATGAGAACCAAGTATATATTTTACAATGGAGACCCTATCAGTGTAGGCACAAGGTCTCCCTCTTTTCCTACTGCCTTTGAGTATTTGCGTTTCCCATCACACCTCCTCAAATCTGCCCCAAAACTAAATTCCTTGGTGTGGGCCCCTCTATTCTGCGACCATGTCTTGAGATGCAGTTACACTTATATTCTACATAGTCAAACTGTCTCATAACGTAGTTATGAAAGATAAGGAAATCACCGGTCTCCAACACAAAACGCAACTGCGTGACTTTTTGGTATTCGCCGAGACACCAGGCCTTTTAAAGGCATTCCGCCTGTGGGGGCAGTGACGCTGCCTTCACTCTTGTTTAAAAAAAACAAAGACCAAGAGGAGGAGGAGAGGAAATGGGAGGGGAAGGTCTGTATGGTGGGCGGAGGGTGCTGCTGTGTACACACCACCCCCCTCCCAGCCTGCCCAAGCAAAGCACACCAAGAATATGCCAGCCAAATGGTTCAGTGGGCGGGTTAGGGGAACATTTCCACAGTATGAATGTGTGCGAGCTGGTGGGCGCGACGTTGGGTTCGTGGCGCATGTGGCCAAGATCACACATGTGCGTGTGTGCTGGCGAGCCATGGCAGCTGCAACTCAAGTGTCGTGCCGTCAAAGTCGTGGCAGTGACGCGCACTGTTGTAAACAAAGCAGAGAAACTTAAACAAGATTTCAACTGGCGTGATGGTTTCCCCAGAATTATTTAATGCCATACGAATTAAACTTGTGTGATTTAAACAGGTGTGGGGTTTTAAATAAGACACCCCAACCCATGCCGAATGAGCATCGTCCATACTCATCTACATTGAAGGTCTCGAACCTGTGTTAGACATTCTACACTCTCATGGTTGGGATGAGTCTTTCCATCGGACAGCCACTGTGCGTTGTTCTAATTTCTAACAAAGTGCTACTTTTTTTATCGAATCCAAACAGATGATGGACCGAGTCAACCACAAAATGGAATTTGTCATCGCACAATAATGTGAACTCTATGCAGATACCAACTGTACTGTACATTTTGGGGAACAGCACTGCCTGCAAGTGAAGCAATGAACAGCAACTTTCTGCAGCACTCACCTCCAAGGGCTGGGGCGGGATTGTTATTTTTGTTAGCTTGGCCTTGGCGGCCGCAGCCGATCCTTTGGGGTCCGGCACGGCACCGCCGTAAGCAGACGGCCCCGAGGAGTAGACCACGTCTCCCGTCACGGCCGCAGGGCCTGACGATGAGGGCAGCTCGGAGCAGTCGCTCGACAGCTGCTGGTCCTGCCCATCCATCGGCCGCACGTACGCCGTGGGCTTCTGCTGCAGCGACGACTGCTTGCTCGAGACAGGCAGCGATGAAGGGAAGGCCTGGCTGGACATCTGCGAGGACGATGCCGCCGCCGCCGCAGATGCAGACGAAGAGGAGCTCGGCCCCGGCGAATTTGAAGAGAATTCGGGCGGCTCTCGCGGAGACTTGGAGCGATGCCGGTCGCGTCCGTGGTGCTGCTCGACGGCAGCCGACGAAGTTGTTGCGGACGCCCGCGTGCCGCCGTGGTGTTCACCGCCGGTCGCGCTGCTCCGGGAGTAGGAGTGGCGGCCCGAGTGCGAGGACGATGCGGTCGGCGCCGGGCTTATCGACTGCTGCTTGGAGCGAGCGTCCACACCGCCACCGTGCTCCCCGCGCCGGTGATCCCCGTGGCTGTAGCCGTGAGACGACGAGTGGCGGCTCTTGCTGGAGCTGCTGTGTCCGCCACCGCCACCGCCACCGCCACCGCCACCGCCACCGCCGGCGCCGCCGCCGCCGCTTCCTCGCGACCGCTCTGCCCCGGGCTTTTTGCTGCCGCTTCCGCTGGGCAGGTTGAACGACGGTCCGCCGTACCCCGTGGCCGCGCTGGAACCCGAGCCCGAGGCCGTGGCCGAACTAGCGGAGGCGGACGAGGGACCCGACGATCGGCCAGTGCCGCTGCTCCCTTGGTACGGCTGCATCACAGCCGTTCTCTGGTCGGGAAAAAAGCTCTGCTCGGTTTTCTCACTTGGTGTCTGGGGGACGGACATTGCTGGGATGCCAACAAATCGGCTCTGGGTTGACCTGTTGCTCAGGATGTCTTTCATTTCGTCGTAGCTGCCAAGTGTGCTCTGAATACGACTCGAAAGCTCATCCCCCCTGTTCGTCTGAAACACAAACGCGGGCGCGCACACACACACACGGTATCATTTGAGTCACCAATTATTTCTGAACAATACAGGTTTACTCTACGGGTTGACACCACATCTTGTCTTAAAAATACTTAGGCTCAATTACACAGGAAACAACCACCAAATTCCAAAGGTATGAAAACAAATGGAAAATACAGACTTAAAAGTTTCGTAAATGGAACAGTAAAATACTTTATTTGGAAGTGAAGAAACTTTCACCACTATTCATTAATTCTTAATTCTTACCAACTATACAGGAGGTTGTGGGTACGATCCCGACCCTGACGATGCCTGTATATTTGGAGTTTGCATTTTCTCCATGTGGTCACGTGGATTTTTATCCAGGTCCTCCAATTTTTCCCTCCACATTTAGAAATGCGCGTCCAGAATATTTGGGTGCTAGAAATTTCCACATAAACAACTTCACTGTGGCCAGGATACTTCTATAAAAGAGCTATGTCGCTCAGTGCGCCTTACTTAGGTAAAATATAATTAGTTAAAAAAAAAATGTATAAACTTACTATTTAATGGAATCTTCACATTTCAGTGAATCGTGGGGGAGGGGGGGGTGAACCTTTCTGTGTGGAACAAGCTAAGAGTACAGATTTTCATCGAAATTGACGTGGACAACAGACCTTGTATGGCTCCTTGAAGAGGTGCTCCGAGCCCGTCAGGGCCTCCTCCTCCTGCAAGGTTTCTTGATTACGACGCTCCCACTCTCTCCTGCGAAGGGCTGCTCGGTCCTTTTTGTCAACACTGCGAGGGGCACCAAAAGACAACGGGGTCCCGGTTAGCCTGGTCTGGGTGCGGAGTTCGGCGAGCGGCAGACAAAGCAAAAGAGGTGACGGGTGGCGGAGCCAACTTTAACTTAAGTACACGTGTGGTCGACACAAATAAACACACACACACAAGTGTAATCAATAATTGTTTTTTTACCCTTTTATCTGGCAACAAAAATTTACACCTTTTTTACAAGGAGCCACGTTTGCATTGACCACAATACCTGCGGTCAAAATGCAAAAAAACAATTATCATATTTTGTTACTGGCAAAGGAGGTTCCAAAAGTGTAATCAATGTACAAGATGCAAGGAGCACTGCATACATGGGCACAATAACAGTCAGAGACAACCACAAACTCAAACACACGCTGCTCTAATACCCTATTTGTGCCATCAAAACAAATACAAAATAACTACCATTATCAATTCTACACATCATAAACACAAAAGATTGGCTGCCTCCCAAAATTGCATTCAGAAACATTTGCGCAGACCGAGTTGGCCATGAAATGGATTTTAAACCATTTTCTCCACTCCAACTCGTCACATGAGAGGGCTAGGGAAAAAATCACGGTCACTACTGATAAGTAAAAGATATCTTATAATCCAAGTAATGTGCAATCTTTGTTTGAAGGGTAGGGAAATGAATAACTGCATCAAGGGTGTCTTGTAATTTGCCCATAACTATTGCTGTTCTATGTATGGATAAGTACAGTGTCTGATGCTTCCTTAAATAGTTTCCTACTCAGTAACGAATGTGCACGTAAAACAAACGTACGTATCCGTGAGTCATGTCACAAGCAGGCAGCTCACACATCACTATCATTTGGCAAAAGGCTCTTCGGTCTTTTGCAAGGTTCCATTGACCAAAAATTGTACAGGTTTTGTTTTCATGCTGAGAGCATTTCACTTCAATTGCTGGGGGGAGTTGCTGAAGCAACTACACTTTAGAAGCTCGTGGCAGCAACGTGCAGCAAAACGTCAGAATCCTTTCCCAACCCCACACTGTACGACCTAAACACACACACATCGGAGCGAGAGCTACCCAACAGCACAACTTCAAAAATCTCACTCGGCACAGTTTTTATTTTACACGCCTGCACCGTTTAACAGGTTGGGAACATTGTGCTGGCACGGATCACTTGTTCTAACCTCGGTTTATGAAGTACAATCAACAAAGATTAATTCACGCAGAGTTGCTTATTACTTCTGTAAAAAGAAAAAAATCCGCAAGTCCAGGGTTCACTGCGTCTTCTGAGGGCGGAGTTGGGGCAAGAAAAAAAACTGCAATGAGCCAACCCGGCTTTTCTGGACAGCGTACGTCACACGCGTGCCCTTCTGGAGCGATTCCAGTAACGTGCGAGTCACCGTCATGCAAAACTGGCGTTACCTGTACGACACGCACCTGCCTTGCGTGTCCTGTGTCGTAGCCCTTATAAGGAGAATGACTGAGTGTGCTCCACACTTAAGCTTTATCCCTTATTGAACAATTACTATACGGAATACAACAACAATGTTGATGTATATAGAGTCTAAATACAAATGCGTCTCAAGACTCGTTACAAAAGTAAAGATGGAAATATTACATTTGTGTAGAAGTTGGTTGGGGGGAGGAGTCAGAGTAGAGGAACATGGTTAGAGAGGACAGAGAGGCAGAGCAAGATTGGGGCACAGCCTGAGTTGAAGCTACCGGTGCCCTGCATCAACATCGAAGCCCCGGGGGCAGCCAGGGCAGCATCAACGAGTCCCCGAGGATCTTGAGAAGGCCTCGACCCTTCACCAAAGAGTCCTAGGGCAGTCTCAGAGGGCCAGGTTACTTCACTAACAAATCCCAGGGGCAGCCAGGGCAGCACAGACGAGTTTCTTTGCAGCCCTGAGGGCAGAATATTTAGTAGATAACAATGGGATGAGGTGGTGTCGAGGTGATGTCGAGGACCGGCGAGGACGTGCAAGAAAGGTCAGGCAAGGGTCAGGAGATAGCAAGGAGTGGGGGGTGTAACAAAAACAAATGAGGTCAGGGAGAAAAATAAATAAGAGCGGCAGGGAGGAAGAGGGGATGACAGGGAAAGTTTGGGTTGGTCGGTGGCAACCACTGAAACACAAGGAGGTTGTGAGCGGGAAACAGCCGCAGCTGCAAGGCGGCCATCTTACCCCAAATCTTTACTCGCCGCCTGCCACCAGAGGAATGTGGAATTTCCATTGCCGGCTCAGGGCCACCAATGGAGATGAGCGCCACTCCATTGCTTGCATGAGCATGGAAATTGCACTTACACAACTAGCAAAATAAAAAAATTACTAAAACTTAATGCGTTAAACTAACGGCCCAAATAAACTTAGCACTGTGGTATCTGAGCATTGCTATGTAAAAACGCAGAAATGCATTCTACTTTTGCGAAAGGTTTATAGAGGCATGAAACGGATTGAGGGCATTATCAACACAATTATTGTATGACACTGCTTTTCATTGCAGGCAACTAATAATATCAATTTGGAACAACTGCTTATGTACCTATGAAGAACAACTGAGTATAGGTTAAGTGACCTGTGTATGACTTGTTACAAGCAGCTTTGGCAGTTAATGCAAGATATATGTAACATTATCGCACCCATACATGAATGTAAAATTGCCCAAAAAAAGATGTGGAGGGGAATATCAAATATGAAACATTTTGTCTGTCAGGTGTAACAGCATTACATCAAGGAGATGTTTCAGTTCCTAAAATTCGAATTTGACAATTTAATATTCCATTTGAGTTTAAATAACCTATCAATCCTGTCAATTAACCTTTCAAAGGTGCAATTACATTGACTTTAAGGCTTCAGTCCACGTAAAATTACAACTGTCAAATTGTATCAGAAATACCTTCATAGATTGTTCTGTATGCGTAGCGTTTAAAAACGCTCTCAATAAGTGCAGTGTATTTGGTGATGTATCATTTTTAAATCAGTCCTACTGGATTGCAATAAAAAAAAAGGTACGAGTGTTATTTGGCAGCGCGACGTGCAATGTCTTCCATCGCAGATGCTGCAAGGTGAGTTATTCATCCTAACTGCACACAGCATGTGTACAGCCTCCTCCAGAGCACTGCTTTTGCATACCAACGTACAACTTCTTTCGCACGGTGTATCGCAGAGTTAAGCAACTGATTTTGGGAACAGCAATTACGTTAGAAATTGACGTCCAGGTTTTTAAGCCATTCAGGGGCATTGGCTGTAAGCTGATTAATTGCTTTGGCCCTGCCATCATTCAATGGGCTCGGATGAGCAGTCAACAGCTGACCCTGCGCTCCATTGTTCGTTCTTTTATACCCATGCACTATTACGTGAGGCTTAGAGTACCTGAAGTAGTTAAAGAAAAATCTCCGTGGGATGTCACTCTGGTATGTTAAGGAGACATCAACTCTGCTGCAAACTGGCCAGAAATGCAAGGCTCTGCTCATGAATAAATAAAGCAGCGTCTCTGGGCGATCATGGAGATCGGCCAATGGCACGAGCTCTGATGCCGCGACCTTTACACGCGATTAGAAAATATAAAAATAACAACAAAGCTGAGCACGAAATGGTGTAAAAACAAACCCTGTAGAGTACACACCAGCGGAGTGATCCACACTGCATTATATAATTGTCCAGTGACGATTAGTGGATCTGTTGTGACAAAAAAAATTCAACATTGACGATTTAATACAATCGATTTCTGAAGATGTTTGTCAATTTCATGAGCTTCATAACAAAAAAAGTTAAAGGATGAGAAATACACCAACAATCTGCACGAAAATTTCCTTTTCATAATTTGTTTTGTTTCTTGAAAGGATAACCTGACCTTCACAGCATGAAAAACACATTCAATGCTTTGGTTGGTTGTGACAGCTTGCTATAAACACGAATTGACATAAGCCTGAATTACAATATTTGTCAAAACATCATATTACTATAGATGCACTAAAAAATGCTTGTCAGTAATTTAGCTTTTAATGCGAGGACCAAAACCAGTGCATGGATGAGCCCCAGTGCACACGGAAGCCTTCCTGTGTACTCGGACGTGGTGGGACGTGCCCAAGGCTCCGCTTACGCTAATCGGTACAGGCAGCTGGCTCATATGGGGGATGCGCGCTTTGCAGTTTGCAGAGCGATGAGGTCGGCTATGACAACATACCAGATTGACACGTCACGTGTCTCCTACCTATCTATCGAGGCTTTTGATCCTGCACGGCCCAGGTGCAGATCCCCTCTTAAACACAGCTACGTTTGAAGACTTAAAGAAACGAAGAATGCGCAAGGCTTGTGAAAAATGGCATGACCGATGAAACACCCTTGTGATTACTACGAAGACGGAGGACTTTCTCGGTAACCGAACCACAACCCATCGGCGTCTACAACCCAGAGAACATTCGAGAGCCGGGATCAAGGGGAGCCAGCGTTCTAACGCGAGGGAGACTGCGGCAATCATTGTCCATTGACGGCGATGTCCGTGCAGCGAGGCAGGCTGTGTGGGGCAGGTCAGCGTGACCATGAAACATCTGTACTCGTTTGGCTCAGGATTGCAACGAGAATCAATTTAGATTTTTTTTTTTTACAGGTATGTTGCGTGTGCTTTAGCGCTTCGTTAATTAATCACGTGTAATGAGGTGGAACAAAAACTGTGCTTAACCATAATCAGGTTCCTTTAATTTCTATCCTAACCATCTGCTATACGCATACTGCAGACACATAATTGTAGACTAAATATCTACCTATTTTCTCTTGCTAAATATTTGGATTTATCAAAAAAAAGTCAATGTTTCCCCGACTAAAAAGACCATGTGGCAGTGCTTATTGGCTTACAGCCTTGAGGCAGTGGTGGAAATTGTGCATTACTGTCAAGGGTGCCAGGCTATAAGAAAACCAAAATGTTGACTTCCCATAAAGAGGTCCTCATTTTATCATCCCCATAGGGATAAAGCATTGAGTCAATGTCTAATCAAGAATTGAATCTGTCA